TGGAGAACATTTCAGCTTTCAACACACACACTGTACACCTTAGATACTTTTGCCACCCGTGCTACTCTCTGACGTTTTCCCCTTTTATCTGAGGGRGACAAGGGAGCCAGCTCTAGGTAGTCCCCAATCCCGTATCTTCTTACCTTGCAGAGCTTCTGGTAGCGCGGGGAGGAAACCGCCATCCTCTGCAAGCGATGCAACAACACCACAACTTTCTGCAGAGACGATCTCACCACGGCCATCATTTTAAGTTTGCCACACTTGTGCAGACACCTCAGAATTTGCATTATAAATGAAGAGCCACTATCATTTCCTCCCGGTCACTGGGCAATGATTTGCCAGCAATCTGAGCATGCTCTCTTCCAGGACTGCTCTGGAGAGCTACAGGCTTTACACGACTCAAAGGCAGAGGAGGCTGATACCGCATAAGTTCCTCCCGCAAAACAAGCCCAAGGCACAAACGAGGAAAGCGGGCACAAGGCTGCAGAGCTTTTCCAAGGTTTCCGCAGCTCCGCCGGCGCTGCRAGCGAGGCAAGTTGCAGAGCAGGCGGGCGCAGCCACCGCTCAGCAGGGCACGGAGCAGCCAGAAGGGGTTATTAATCAGCACAGGAAAGCTGCGGAGACCAGGAGGAATTCCTTCAGGAGGCGGCTCCAGCGCTCCGGGAAGGACGCTCCGCTCCTGCTCCCGCTGCTGCTCCTGCTCCCGCTGCGAGTGGGAACGCGGCTCCGGCAGAGCTCTGCGCGCGGCCAGGAACGCGCCGGCTCAGGGAGCGCGGGCGGGGAGCCCGGGGCTCCTGGCCCCGCAGTGAAGCCGAGGGACACCCCGGGCGGGCGGCACGGCGGGATCAGCCGGCACAAAAGGGAGCGCAGCGGCGGGGGGCAGCCGGCCTCTCCTGCGGAAACTCTCCCAAAGCCCGTTTAGCCCAAGGAGTCTCAAAGGATTCCCACTCACACTGCAAAGTAGGAATGTTTTTCAGAAGCTGTTCCCAATTAGAATCTTTTCCTGAGCGACTTACTAGGAACGAGCCGGATTTTGACAAATTTAAAGCACCCAAACGTGTCACCCTTTTCCCAGCAGCTTTGAACTGAGGCAGCGAGCACCATTCCGATGCTTTTCCCATGACAAAGCAGTATTACTCAAGCCTCCCGAGGGAAGTAGGACGTTCAGGAGCAGGGAAGCGCCCTGCATCCCGCTCCCTGCTCCRGGTGCCGCGCGGCCAACGCGCCCCCAGGTGCGGCCCCACTGGGGCACAACCTGGCACGGCCGCGGCTCAGGGCGCCCGCGGCCACTTCAATGCGAGCGCGAGGGGCTGCCGGGCAGGCGCCCAGCGAGGCCGGGCCGGCACAGCGGGAGCGCAGCAGGACAGAGAAGCTGCCTCGACAGCCCTCGGGCAGGCGGCACGCGAGCGGAGAGCGGCCAAAGCCGGCAGGCCCCGGGGGCTTCTCGCACCCACCCTAAAAACAGCTCCATGAGGAGAGGAACATATTCACCACACCAATTAATTAGGAGGATTAATGTAGTTTTCACCAAGATCCCAAGGGGAAAACAACACTAAGTCTGAAAATCACTTTCTCCAACAGAACATAAAACTAAATGAAAAATATATATAAATGTATGTATATGCATACATATATGTATTATCAACAGGTATTGAGAAAAGTACGAAGTTGTTACRCCAGTGCTCAATCTGCAGCTTTGATCCCTTCCCCTCTCCTAGGCTTGCTAACAGACACGTAATGTTTCCCTGGCAGGACTCTAAATACATAGCCCAAGACCAAGGATATAACGGTCATTACTATTGCAGGCTTAAAGTATCTGCTGAATACAGATCTAAATAAAAATTCACCTGTTTACTTCTAGGTTAAACACCTTTCCTTAATGTCGCCATAATGTTAAAACATACGAGGTTTTTGCCTCAATTTGGAATCTGAAAAGACCACTACCAGTGATGGTGCTGCTGCCTAACCAGGCATTCACACCCTTGTGGCCCACCCACCAGCCCCGTGCGGAGGCTCCAGCTAGGAGCAATCACGAGGAGTGAGGGCGCCGCGGGCCCTGCAGGCCCCACAGCTCACCGGGCAGCGCCCCACACGCCGGCGGGCCCACCATGGGGCACCAGCTCTTCGGAGAGGACACCGAGTTAGAAGTGGTTCCCTCCCAAATCTTCACGAGCCCGCTCTGGTCTTACCACCTTGTTTTAGAACTGGGACAATTTTGCCATCAGTGCTCCCACCACACCTGTTTTCCTTCTGCACTGTTCTCTCCCCATTTTTTTCCAGCACTAAACATGGTATCRTTTTAAGGACACAGGACATTAACTTCACTCTCTATTTTAAAATCTCACCTCGGAGAGTCTTTGGAGGCAAAGGGCTTCACTAGTGTCACCCCAGCACTACCTTCTGTTATTTGATTCCTCATTTTCYGCAGCTTTCTTCAAATTAGTCTTTAACCTCTTTTAAGCTACATATTCTGCACATGGTGAYCAACACAGACTGGAATGCTCTGACAAGAACACGAAATGCTCTGCAATAATTGGATATTTAATGCATTAAGAAAGATTGATGCTATAATCACGAATTTCCTCCCATAAACAACAATCAAAACCCGCTTCATCTTCTACCACCTTCTAAGTTGGGGTTATTTTCATGGCACTGCTCTTACCCTTGAAGGCAAGGAAGCCAAAGCAAGGCTGAGCTAGTCCCCACATCCCCGATGCTCTTGAGTGACCTGCACTGCAGCCAACCAAGCGGGTACAGAAGGTACCTGCCCCACCACATGGAGATGCCAGCTCAGCAGATGATGCTGCACTGGAAGTGCATGACACGTAACACCAAGCACAGCACCACGGACTATGCTCTACGTGCTGCAGATTTAATCACAGCCAGAAATCCCAGTGAAGAAGCTTTTCCCTCCACGCATGGGGCTCAAGGGGCAGGGGCACAGAGCCCTGAACTGCTCTTGCAACCAGCTCAGTTTGGAAGAAATATTTCTTGGACTATTTAACAAAGCACAACCACGAGCAATGTTGTTATATATCACTGAAAAGGGGGAAGAGAACAGTATATTTTCTTTCTTCAATCAGTTTTTATCTTAAAACCACAGGGGAGAGGGACTAGATTTTTATTTATAATTTGCTGTAATTTGTTTCAAAAATTCACTCTGACGAATGTTTAAAAGCAGAAACACTCATTTTTTGAAACAATGATTTGAAAGTCTCTGGTTAGATTTAAAAGCATATTAAAAKTTGTTATAGTAAAAAAGTTCATCTCAGAAGCCATTGCGCTGTGACAGCGTGGCATGAGCTCCCACAACAACTTCTTTGGTAACAGAAAAAAGCTCACAATATTACGTGGCTTCATAGGTAAGTTAAGCGGATACAACACTTGGTCTGCTGCACGATGTGTCAGAGCACACGGTCATGTGGAAGATGGAGAATATCAGACATACAGAGGCTTACAGACCCCTCCGTGGAGCAGCAGCTCTTCTCCCTTCACACAGCACAGGCCAACAATTTAGACCACCTTGCAGCTCCGAAGAGGAGGCAATCAACCTGCCACGAGCAAGCCACCCAGGTCCTCACACACGTGTCCAGCGGGCGGCAGCGTGCTGCAAAGCCACCGCGTCACCCCAGAGCAACCAGCTACGCGGAAGGCAGGCAATGCTTTTGGGGGTAATGAAGAGGTCCACACGCCTGCGCGGCACCAACACCCACGGTTAGCTCCCTGTGGCCCCGCTTGATCCCTGCCAGCACTCCCACTGCCACTGCTCCCGGCAGCAGGGATCCCACTAACTCCCCGGTGCTGCCATCCTGGCAGCTCAGAGCCCACGTGGGCTCCACACACACGAGCTCCCCACGGGCTGGGGCACCCATGTAGGCAGCGGCAGGTAACACGTCCCCCYGCAGCCTCCACAGGACACTGCTCTTACCTGGAGCGAACAGCTTGACCAGAAACTCCCAATTCAAAGGGGATGAGACATTCAGTGCTGGCGTGCTCAGGTTAATAACRGCACTACCGATATTTTTCATTAAAATTTACCAATATTTTAATTAAAATTTGAATTCAGACCACAGGAAACATTTCAGAAATCCAACCTTCCAATTTGTGTATATTGAAAGAGAAAAACTATACTAAACAAGAGGTGGAGCTAATTAAAGGAGGAAAAAATGCAGTAAAACATTCAGGAGAAAGAAAAGGCATGAACAGCACTCACATCAGGTAAGCAGGGGGTTTCTGCCAGAGAAACACTGTAAATCCTTTTAACCAGCAAAGCTCAAGTCCTCTCCTGACACCAGGAAGACCTGACGGGGCTCCAGGCTCTCTACTGCTGYCGGCCCCTGGCTCTTCTGCCCCCAGGAATGGGGCTGGAAAGGCAGTAATGGGCAGCTGGTGCTGCGCTCCCCATACCTGCTTTGGTCTGCGCTTCTTGCTCTGGGAGCAGGGCATTTCCTTCTGGATTTCAGATGAGCCAGGGTGTCCACACATGAGAAGGGCCCCTAAGTGGGGACATCTAATTYTCCGCTCAGTTATTCCTGGGGTTTCCACACGCTGTGGCCTATCTGCCAAGGAAGCTCAGAGCTGGAAGGAGCTCCGGGCACCAAAACTTAGTTCACTGGCAAAGCAGGGAGAAGGCAAGCAGGGAAAGATAAGGAAGATGCAGAGACAGCACTTCCCAGGTTTAAACTTCACTGGAGGAAACCATATTGAACTGCTTAGTTGGACACTCACATGGTRTGCTTTGGTGTAATCAGATACAAGTTTCCTGAACACAGTCACTCTCCAGGCAATCTGAAGAGCCCTGACAGCCAGACAGGCTTTTGGAATATGCATTTCAAACCTGAGCAAGAAAAAGTCTTCACACTTCTGAATCTTAAATTGCCCTTCTCAAACACCTTTAAAGAAGCTGCAGGTCCCTCCCCTCTATTAGACAGCTTCCCTTTGTAACATTTGCCACAGAGGAGAAGTGCAAATGAGACCCRCAGCATCATTTACTTTCTTACCTGCATCTGTTTCCGCAGCTCCCTTACGCAGGCACTGTCCTGAGCAGCGGCCTCACGGTGGGAGGCGTCTGCAAGGACATTCACTGTCGTCTCTGCCTCTTGAAGCCACTTGAGGAAGCTCTCCAGATCCCTGTGCAAGGTCTGCACTGTCTTCAGCTCAGTGTCCAAGAAATTCTGCCTATCAACAGCTCTGAAAACAGCATGACAACAAGCATCAGAATTCTCTTCCATAACACCCAACATTACACATATTATAAAGGAGCTACTGAAAGATAAATCCCAAGTTCTCCATTAGAAACTGTACATCTACCGTGGCTTATTTTATCATTATTTAGATCCCCGTTTCCCTCATTGTTGCATCTTCAGCTTTCCACAAATGATCTTAACTATAAAGATATGTATTTCACAGCCCTTTTAACAAAAGCATGTGGAAGAAAATAAGTTACTCATTAAAAATCTAGCTTTTTGACTACTGTGATCATGGCCTTATGCCACTCCAACTGCTAGAAGTGTTATTCCCATGTGTGAATGCTTATCCTCGTCTACAAACATCACATGGAGTAGAAAGATTGAGGGGTGGRAGCTTTTTTCTCTTTTACAGTTAGCATAAGCATTTCTTAAGATTAGTACATACTGTATTAGTTCAAGTACTAAGGAAAATGATTCCTGGCTCGCTGCTAAAAGCAAAGACTTTTGACACGACTACTCATACTGTATAATACATTATCACTATGACAGTCAATATAGTTAGTCCAAGATGAACATTCTTAAAAAGGTTCTTCAAAAGATGTCAGCTAGATGATAGTACAGATTTCATTTCATAAAAGATTTTATATATATATATATATAAGTCTTTTACTGCTTTTCATCCATTTGAGGCTACTACTTCTTAGCGATATCCCTTTTTCCAAACCACAACCCAAAAAAATCCAGCTGTTCCCCCAGCACACTGTAGTGAAGTAGTTCCAGCTACTATCTGGAACACTGTGGCTAAACAATCAGGAAGTCAACTTTATTTCAATCGTATTATAAGATTTCAGTGGTAAAGTAATATTTATTTTCAAATTAAACAAGGCCAAAATACTCTGCATTTGATATTCTGGAAAGAACTGAACAGATTTCTCCAGACATACTCAATGTATTTGCATTCTGCCTTCTCACATTCTCCTTAAGTTTGTTTTCTGCTTTCCATATTGTGGTGACAGTTTTGCTCAGCAGTATTACAGACTCWCTGCATTCAAAATCAAGATCTTCAMTAAYAGCTTAAAATGTTCTTGGAAAAAAAAATAAAATAAAAAGCTGCAGGTGTTTGGTATCATTCAAAAGGATGTTTCTAAACTGGCAGTTTAGTTTATTGGCACATCATAAGAAGAGACAGATGTAAGGCAAAGCTGTTCTCCTTCAAGGGCAGYAAGGAAATTTGATGCCACCCCAATTCTGTCAGTCTTCCATTCTTCAGCATTAACGCAGCCAAATGAATTTTCATGAGGCAGCTTGCAACGACCCAGTGCTGCGAACCCCAATTTAGAAAGGGTTGGGCTTATGCCATGTGTTAATCATTGCTTCCTGCAGAGTGAGCCTGCTTGGATCCTTCCTAACTTCCCAGGCTGCCCAGGCTTTGGCCACCAGCAAAGGGCTGGCAGGGCAAGAAGGCTTCGCTCTCGCCCCTGGGGCTCTGAAACGCTCCGGCCACCATGGAGAGGGAAGAGAGGAGGAAAAAAAAAAGTGTGCTGAGGATAACAAACTGTTTTGATAGATATATTGGCTAAAATAACAACAAAGCAGCAGCTGAAAAACCGGAGCATTCTAATATACCAAGAAAAAGGAGAGAAAAAGGGAGAGGGGAAAAAAAAAAAGGCACCACAAAGTAGAAGCAGGAGCTCTCACTTCAAAACTCTCTCCCCTCTGCAGGGAATTTCTTCCCTAGCAGGGGATGAAGGCCAAAGGTSGAAAAACAGGAGCGGCAATGGGAAGAACAGGCTGAAAATAAAGGTGACCTTCAAAARACACCAGAGAAGCCCCAAAGGATGAAACACATTAAAAGTGACCTAGATCTCCAAGTGTAAGCACTGATGTAAGACAGGGATTAGGACAACTTGAATGTTATACCTAATAACATTCATTCAAGAATGTTTTCTCTAATTCTCAAGTTTTAAGTAATCAAACTTTGTGCTTAGTTGAAATTACAGATTTAAATTCCGTAACAGTCCCACTGCTATCACGACGCTTGAACTAAAGAGAAAAATCAGTCCATTCTGTAAATCTGCATTCCAGTAGCATGAATTACCAGGTTTACAACTAATGTTCCAGATCATATGAATGGTGTAAAAGAGGATCTGCAGAACAACAGTGAGGAGCACTTCCAGAGAGCAGAYCCAGATACTTTCATGTCACTCCAGTAAAGGCCACCAACAGGAGATGATGGGGAGGTCTGTACTGCAGACGGACTATTTGCCCTGCCAACAAGGGTGACTCAATTCTCAGATAAGTCTGGCACAATCAGAACACTCCCAAAGGAGAGAAGCTCTTCCCAGGAGGTAAGAATTAACATAAAATCATAGAATCCTTAAGGTCAGAAGGGATCTTTAGAGATCATCTAGTCCAACCCCCCRGAACACGCAGGGTCACCTAGAGCCTGTGGTATAGGATTGCATCCAAGTGGGTTTGGAAGACCTCCAGAGAAAGAGACTCCACAACCTCCCTGGGCAGCCTGTGCCAGGGCTCTGKCACCCTCACTGTGAAGAGATTTTTCCTTAAGTTCCTGTGGAACTTTTGGTCATAAGGAGAACCTGCAGTGTCCCACACAACACTGAATGCGGTGATGGGCAACAAGGTCTAGGCTGATTCTGTTAGTCAAAATATGCCCAAGAAAAACAAAACACCTACTTCTCCTACTTAAGTTTTCCTGTTAGTGCTTTAAGCTTTCAGTTCCACTCCATTATTTTTCAGATATGAACTAAAAACCTGCAATACAYGCAAGTATGAGATCAAGGGAAAGTCAAGAAAAACATTTGGGACTGACTGGACAACAACTGCAGTCCACTTCTGAGACAGCAAACACAGAGGGAATTACGATAGTTTCATCCTGAAACACCAAAGTGGAACACAAATAGCCATGGGATAGCATACCCAAATTATACTGCATCAAGAAGGCGTGCTTTACCTCCTTAATGCCTATGTTTTTAAAATGAGCTGATTCAATTTTGAGCTTCATGGCTATAGCCCGCCTGATAGTGCTATTAGAGTGCTATTAAGGACTGCGATTTTCCCAGATGAAGAAGGACCCTTCCTTCACTCTCCAAGGCTTAGGTATTGGCAGAACAGAGGGGAACTTTAAAGCATTTTACTGCAAATACAAATAAAAGGCTATGGCTATAGAAGCCATACAGGATTCCAGGCAGGAGTCCCCACAGCTCCTTCTGGGCCCCTGTCCTGAGTTGGGTGAGCAGTTTTATGCTGTCTCTACCAAAAAGCACTGGGAAGTTTGAACTTGAATGACAGTAGTCTGCTGTTACTACTAACCAACAAGTAGTTGTTTCTCCTCACCCTCCTATTCCGTCTTCATCCCCAGATGCCACTGTGACAGAAATCCAGATAAAGACATTTTTGAAATAATATTGCAGTGCTCTGATAAGAAGGATGAGGATCTGAGCCAGAACACATTCCAGTCCCCAGTCTTAATGCAAATGAGTGATCTGGAACAGCCACTTCAGGAGACAAGTGCACCCCTGCGGGCCACTTCAGAGAGAAAACATGAAGAGCTGAGGAAACCTTATTGTGCACCAGGGCTTTTCCCACCGTCTATTCAACATTGGCTAAAAAAAAATGAAAACAACTGTGCACATCGCATTGAATAATAATGGATTTTTTTAATCCTTCAAAAGTCTGTCTTGGATGTCTCAAAACACCTAGAGATCAACACAATTTTATTCTACCTCAAATCATCATACTGTATGAGCTGTATAAAGTTTTGTTTCTTTTGTTTCTCATCTCTCAGTGGAAATAACCAGAAAACAATTCACATAAAGCTCACATAAACCACTGTCACATCAAAAATAAGGAACTACAAAAGAACAGGCTGCCCAGGGAGGCTGTGGAGTCTCCTTCTCTGGAGATCTTCCAAACCCACCTGGATGCCGCCCTGTGCCCCGTGTTCTGGGTGTCCCTGCTGGAGCAGGAGGGGTTGGACTAGATGGTCTCTAGAGGTCCCTTCCAACCTTGAATATTCTGTGATTCTGTGAAAGTACCTTTTTGAGATTTTTTTTCTCTTTTTAAGCAGGAATTGGAAGTCATTAGGAGGCTTCCATGATGAACTGTGCAAATCTCCATCACAAGCAAACTTCAAAACAGCTTCACTATAATTGACTATTGATCTGCGCTAACCCTGAAACTGCAGAAAAATTAAGTATACAGAGAAATTAATATACATAAATCTGTATCCTGTTATTTCTGACACTTAAGGAAGAGCTACATACAGTGCAAAACTTCCTAATTACCTTTGGTTCAGATTAACCCAACAAGTATTCATTTGGTCAGTGGTTTCCTTCACCCTCCTCGTGTCATCATCTCGATACTCCCGAAGAAGTTTATTGGAAAGGTCATTGAATGCAGCTACCGTGATGTCGCCTCTGTGCAAATCCTGAACTAACATCTGAAAAAGAAAATTCAGAATGAGACACCTGAACAAAATTAAAATCAGACTATTTCACATATTATACATTTCATCATACTAGAACTTTTGCAATAAATGTGTATATATCTCATCTAGAACATACTCCCCTTCTTAAAACGAAGAACTACTAGAAACYAGTGTCCTGATAATGAGCCAATCACTTCACAAATAAACAAGGAAAATAATGCTTTTCAGAACTACAAATGAAATTTCAAAAATATGTCTGTGTTTAACTGGTAATGGAAGCAAAAGTGCTTCTCTGTTTTGAGCAGAATGAGTAAGTTTAAAATATATGAACGGTGATACTACCATGAGCTATATGTGAGATAAATTAAGTGTGCTGCAGGATTTTTTTTTTTTTTTTTTTTTTTTTTATAATGAAGAAACAGGTCAAATATGGTCATTTATTGTAGCAGGATATTCATAACATAGCTCAGCCTTCTTGAGATATTTCTAACTCTGGGGAAAAGTATGTTTTTTTTTTTTTTTATGTGTACATATATACACACACACACACACATTCAGGTTTTATATTTTTCACTTATATTGTATGTACTCTGTACTGTATGCTTGCACAACGGTTGTTTTTTAATTAAAAAAGTAAGCAGACAGTCCTAATAGCCCCTTTCTAACGTTAAATAAAGCCAGTGAAAAGCAAGCAATTTTACTATTTACTAAAATAGGGCAATAGTTCAGTGAGGGAATCTCATGACCACATCTCTCTGCTTCTTTCCATACCCAGCTGCATTCCTATCTTGTCCTTCTGTGACTGGGTTTTAAGATCTATTACAGCCTGTTCCTTGCAGCATTGGTAAGAGCCTCTCCTCACTGAATTCCCTCTTCATTTCAGCCTCTGTCTCCTAGAGCCTGTCCTTTTTCCTGCAGACCTTGGAACAAAGGACATCAGACTTATTGATTTATCACAGCAGGTTTGCTCTGACATAAAGAGCAAAGATTGGGGAAAAAAAGTGCTAAACATGTCCAAGGGACCCATCAGAAGTGAAAATGAAGATTTTTTTAGGTATTTTAGTCTATCCCTGAATTTACTTACTATCATTAGTAGSTTTTTATGAAGTAATATATGCTGTATCCTGTGACTGCATTAATAAAGTTTTAGCAGTCTGAGGCTCACATTTTCTGCATTAGATCATTTATTTGCTCCTGTATTGACTTAAATTACACTCTTTACTAAGAAGACACACACCAGGCACACGTGCCACCGGTTTCCCTACCCCCTAAAACGATTCCCAGGAGTCTGACTAGGGGACGAAGGTGGAGAGAAGGAAGAAAAGTGGCGGGAAGAGAGAAAGCATTTACAGCATATTACTCCTTAAAAGAGAAAGGATTACCAAATCAATTTTACAATTAAATCTTTTATGACACAGCTTGATGCGCTGGAGGGTGGGAAAGAGGGGAAAAACAGACAGGAGCCCCGGATGAACACACACACCCAYGGAGGCCTTACTTTGTTGTCCGCAGCCTGCTTGGCGAGCGGCTCCTTGGGGGCCTGCAGGAGCAGGCGCAGGCGCAGCTCGGCGTGCTCCATGAGGCGCTCCATGTGCTGCCTCTGCTCGTCCCAGCGCACGCTGTCGGCCAGCATGTGCCGGAGCTGCTGCTGCCGCTCCTCCACGCCGTGCTGGGTGCCGTCCCACTGGCTCTTCAGCTTCTCCACTGCGGGCACAAGGCAGAGTCAGCACCGGCGCCGAGGAGCCGCCACCGCGGAGCAACCAGCCGGCAAAGGGTCCCCCCGGGAGCTGCGGCTCCAGAGCCCCCCGGGAGCTGTTCCGTTCCCCGAAGCACACGGCACCGCAGCGGTTTGGCTGGCYGTGTTCAAGCAGGCAAGCTCAAGGCCACACGTATTTGGGGAGGTTTCAAACCCATGATTTTTTACTCTTCAAGAAGGTGCATGGCGGCAGGAGGTTGACCACAGCTCCACTATACAGGAAAGCAAAGGCAGGGCTTCATGGAGCACAAGTTACAGTACACACCAGCAAATCTGAGGTTTGCTAGACCAGCAAGTCACCTCTGCACCGCTGTAGCTGAAAAGAGTATAAATGAACCAATAAAACCCTGTTTAGCCCCGTGTAGTTTACACAGGGTTTGTAAATTGTAGTTTGCCACCAGCGCGCTGAAGCTCCTGCTCCACAGCTTGGGCTAAGTCAGAAACACATGAGTACCAACCTGCTTTAATACTTCCCTTTCACCGCGAGTTTTTACAGGCTGAAGTTAAGTAGTTTTTACAGCACAACTGGAAAGTTATTGATCACATCCCCTTCCTTCAAGTATCATGTTTATCTCTCAGTAAGGGGAGTTACATTACACGTTCAATCACACCAGCCTTTCACCTTTACTAAGYAAAGGGTGAAAAAGACAATGTGGCAAGAGCAGGGAGGCGAAAATTGGCGTGTCAGGGAAAGCCCTAAGCCTGCCTTTCACAGAGAGGTGAACAGCGTTAAAGATTTTCCTTAAGMGTTATAGGTCATTAAAAATGCAGGGCAGAAGGCATTGCCTGGCAGTCAATAGCAGGCCTTCCCTATTACCTGCCACAACAGTTAGCAGCAGCACATTATATTGCTAGAACAAAAGAATGAAAACYAAATTGTAAGGAAAAGGAGGAAAACAAAAACATGGATTTCTTAGGTACAGCTGTTAAATGACCGAATTTTCAAAAGAAGTGCCATTTTTATTTTACTATCTTACCCTAACACATGAAGAAACGCTTTAGTGAGGTAACATTCCCAAAACGCAAGGCCAAGGGCGGCAGGCTGGCCGCCCAGAGCCTCAGCCCTGCAGCACAGCCCCAAGCCCCTCTCGGCGCTCCCGCAAGCGGCTCTCATCAGGTCACTTCGTGTCATCGCACCAATGTGTTGCATGACTTTAACCCCTACTTTGGGGCACGTTGCAATATTGATTTTTAAAGAGAACTTCTAAAYTAAACTAACGGCAGCTTTATTTGTTACTGGCAGGAAAATGCAAGCCTCATTTATTCACTCACRTAAGCACTTAGTTTTAAAAACAAGCAGAAAGCTCCTTTCTGACAAACCTAGACTTTTGTATTTAGGAACTTCACAGATAGAGAGATGAAAGTCGCTACCCTGGCTAAGCTTGTGAGTTGCAGGAACACATTGAGGGCAGCACCTTGAGCGCCAGGTGCTACAGGAATTGTTAGTTCCTTCCTTTTCAATTTCCACTGAACAGTGGATAGTATTGATCTCATTTTTCTATTAGAAGTCAGTGTTATGTACTTTTATGTCTATCTTGAATTCCTATATGGCTGGCAGCAACAGGTTTGGCAATATGTAAAACAACTCATGTTTATTTTACCAGCTAGGATGTCACTTTGCTTTGTGTATCTGAAAGCTAACATACTTGAAACTCAAGGCACTTTAATCTTTCACAAAGCAAAAATGTTAAGGTTTTACCATTACCTTTTTTAAAAACCTTTTAGGAGCATTCAAAGTCATTATGCTTCATCTGCTTAGGAAGCTCTCCTCTCCTTAAAGAYTGCATTTAAGAGCATTCTGCACAGCTCCACAACACGCTCAGACTGCCTGACAAGCTCAAGGGCCAGAGCAGCTCTCTCTTCCTCCCCACCCTCCACACAATATATGTATGTAAACATATATACACAGTTCTGCATATACATATGTATGTATAACTGCATGTGCGTGTGTATACACAGATGCAATTTCAAGCCACAGGGAAGTTTTAGATTAATTTTCAGGTATGATATAGATCATACTGAATACAAGAATTCAGAAGAATGAGCTTCAGCATGCCTAACAGCCAAAATTTTATACATACACACACACACTTAACAAGTTACTACTTTTAATAAATAGTGTGTTCAAAAGGAAATGAGCAGCTGCTGCAAGAGATCAGTGATTTCACAAAAAGCAGCAGAAGGAAAAAGCGCTGCAGTGCTTTGAGCTGGCTAAGGAACCATGGAGAGAAACCTCCCAGGAGTTTGAGTTCTCCTTGCAAGCCTGCAAGGAAGGAAGCATCCTGGAGAAACAGCTGTCTTCAGTAGCAACTTGGCTGAAATGAATAGATATTTGAGGTTATAAAGAAAGTTTACACGGAAAGAATGTTGCTTGACTGTGTTGCAGATTTTTCCCTTTGAAAGCCGAGGTTGACCTCACCTCAATTAAAACCACTTTCAACTCACTGCTCATAATTAAGAGTTATTTTGAAGCTGACATTTCCCTTCTCTCCAGCCTACAGCAAAACAGGACACAACACTGAATTTAAATTCTCRCTATCTTAAGAATCTGTCCTTGGGTTCAATAGGTTGGTCCCTAAAAAAAGCAGTCAAGAAGTCAAGAGCACCAGGCTGGTATCAAAGTTGGAAAGATGTGAAAGACTCCCTGATGAGAAGAATTATTTAATCCCCAGTGTCCACATAGCAATCATAAGGGAAGATTCAAGTAAGGAAACTTTCCTCTGTTTCTGTGATTGTAGCTCTCAGAGCAATGAGGCTTCATCTACCAACATATAACTGACCCCTAAGTTTGTAGGACATAAGAACAGTTTTCAGCATTCAGAGTAACAAGGTACAAAAAAAAAAAAAAAAAAATCAAGGCTGCTTTAAGTTCTTCCATGTTTCATGACAGGCTGCAAAACTTTCATATACATAAAGAAAATGTTCTGGAAGCCTCATGCATGGCAGGATACCCCGCTTCTCACATCTCCTCCTCTATGGGCATGACTGTTGGGTAACGCAACTGGAATCGCAAAGTGCTGRTCGGTGACAAAAATCCACCAACTCGCAGTCAAGATTTTAAAAAAAACAAAATGAACATGAAGTTAGTCCGAGTTTATGCATTCATTCATCCCACATAATAATCTCTTCAGTGCACCACAGCTCAAAGATAAAAAGAATATATTTTTTTTAAATATCAATAAATAACACGTGTAGGACGAGTGATAAGGATTTCAAGTAAATCTCAAATTTCAGTCAGAATATTTACTCTTGTCCTTTTATATTTTTCAGTCAAAAAAATAGCAGTGATTTTTTTTTCTATGAATTTTAGAGAGGTATGGTGAAAGTCATTTAACTGCCACGCTTTCAATGTATAAGAAAAACAACTTCAGTTAGGTGCAAAATCAAGAGTTTAAGAGAAAGATATACAGATTAATTGACTACCATAGAACTATTGAATTTGCAAACACAGAATTGTGGAACTTACATTTTTCTGTAATCACTGTCCTAACATCTGAACTGGAAGTTTTATTTTTCAAATTCTGAGCCAACGTAAACACAGAATCAAGCTGAGGGTGTCGCTGGTCCAAATCCACCTTTGTTATCTGTTGAGAATCAGAATGTCATTTTGAAGTACAARAAAAGSCRGATTTAACTAAAAAACAAAAACAGTAGAGCASAGGGAAGGTCGGGAAAGAGAAAGAAATTCCCTACTAGACAGTATGTTGTACACAAAACTTTGCTGTTACTTCACTATAGCAATGTACCAGATCCCCATTTTCTAACTACTGTATAGTTAAAAGGAGAGGGGGAAAAAAAAAAGTTAATTTGCATAAGGTCTTCTCAAGAACACCCACTTTCATTCGTGAAATGGTCCGACTGATGTCTTCAGCATTTCCCACAGTGACTATGCTCGACTTGAGCATCTGATCAATCAGTATCAGCCAGTCACTCAGCTCGGTTGTAGTTTTATCCAGATCAGCAGGTGCTGAGAGTTCCAAGGCCTGCTGAGCCTGAACAGGAATTTCAAATGAAGAAGATACTAGCACCACCTTTTGGACATCTGTAACAATAAACAAGAGTTTTAAGGTTTTATTTAAGAAGAGGGGAAGAAAAAAAAAAAATCACAGCCGAAGGGGTAACCACAGTATTACAAGAACTACAATTTGGTACATGTATGTGGAAGGGACCTGTAACTCCTAAAATATGCAGCAGCATCTATAGAGCCACCGGGAGCTAAGCCACAAGAAACAGATTCCTTCTACCTCCTTTCCTCTCTCACCCTTTCTTCCTCGCTCTGTCTCATTTCATTTTTTTTTTTTAAGCTAACAATTATTTTACTGCATGACAGAGTCTCTCAAGTAATTTGGATGTAATACAACACAACCAAAAGAAAACACAACTTCCAATAACACAACAGCATTTAAATCCCTGGATTGAAGTTAACCACTATGTGAATGAACAGCAACACCTAATCCCTATCGGGAATACAAAGCCATTATTTCCCYTGAGCTAAGTGTCTAAAATTACCTCTCTCTCCTGCACTGTTTGGTGCAAAGTTTTCCCCAATCCTCAGCCCAGGAGTAGTTTAAGCACAAAGATGCTCCCCAGGCTTTGCAATACCCAGCTGTCTTACAAGAGGCAGAGTCCTGGACGTTCAGCCCAGCTGCATCCACCCCTTCAACTTGRCACTGCCAAGCTTAAGTGAAGCAGCAAGATTTTCTCTAGAAGCTGTTCCTGACAGTGTTCTTGCTCCAAGAAAATGCTAAGTTAAATCAARCTTTTGCACAGACACATTTGCCTCACGCAGTAAAAGATAGTACCTTTACTTAGCAAATAGAYTGCATGAGCAAAAGAAACCAAGCTGAAATAGTTTTAAAAAGCTGTTACTGTAATTTGTCACTGTAAAAATGTAAGGATTTTTCACCTTAAAATTTAATTTGCCACTACCAATTAATAGTTGTTTAAAGTTAGTTTACTTAAGTTCAAGCTATAAATTCTTCTGGGCAAGTGCTGTCCTTTTTTTAACTTGGTTTTCTAAAAAGGACATCTGTGCATCTACTTCTACTATCTGTAACTGGACTGCTTCCAGTTACTTTTGAAAGAACTTACTAGTTTTGGCATCTGATTCCAGGAAAGCTGTCACAAAGACACTACGTTTTGACAAGATTCAGGAAAATAAGTAGCTAGGAGAAAGATTTTTTTTTTTTCTGTGCCCTTTCTGAGCCAGACGATACAGAATGACCTTTTATTTATACAGCACTGCAGAGAATCTGTATGCAGGAGACACTTTACAAACACTTAACTGCAGGAAAAGCCTCAATGAGGTCTCAGCTGCTAAAAACCACGGCCACAAGGCACAGCCCATAGGAAGGCAGGCTCTCTCAAACACAGCTACTCTGGCTTTTATTTTCTGCCTGGTGCAGCAGCAGCTGATCAGGACATCTCAGCTTTACCAAAACACTCCTGCACTTCAAAAACTCAGGAGGAACCCAAAGAGCACCTCAACCCTGTGGTCCCTCTGATTTTTCTCCAGTTACTTGAAGGCAAGTGCAGAAGACACAAATGGGCAACATCTCTTATTTCCACTTTAAGTTCAGGAAAAAAAAAAAAAAAAGAATTAAAAAAGGGGAGTTCCTTTTTGGCTGTCTTTGGACAACCACCAGGACGCAGGATTCACCGTCAGGAGCACTCACCAGAACGCTTCCTGGGCACTGCGAGGTGAGGCTGCTCAACAAGCACCTCCAGCTTCCTCAGTCTGTCGGGCACTTCTTTGAAAACCTACAGTCCAGCAAGGAGAGGAACAAAAACAGTAAGAAACGCTACATTAACAGCAAAAAATAATCATTTACTACATCATTTTAAATATTCTGCATTATGTTTGCTGCAATGGCATTGAAGAGTGTCATTTCACTACCCTCTGATTTCCTACCTAAAACTTAGAGTGAAATAAATGATTTTTTGTAGTTAGGCTGTTGAATTTTTTTTTTTTTTTTTTTTTTTTACTGTCCATGTACTGAAGTCTAATTTGAATGCTTTTTGAAGGTGTACAAGACCCACTCCACATGATTTCTGGTCATCAGGGACAAGGTGGCAGAGAGATAGGGAATTAAATTTAAATAAATAATGTTATCACTAGTCCCTACTGGAGAAGAAAAAAAATCCCTATAACTTTGAAGAGGTAGAGAATAAATATAAAATACAAAGGAATGACTGAATGGGTAAGAAATAAACTTTTCATTCTCTGAATTATCAACAGTTCCTTTTTCTATTTCTTACCTCCCAGAAATCCACACTTTACCCATACCAGTAATATCAAATAATTTCAATCTCTTTTTCATAGGGATCTCCAGGTTCTCCTTGGGAAAAAAAACACTGTTTTCACTCCAACAAGTGAGAGATTTTCTTCTCGCATACTTGTCACTGAGACCAAGGGGTTCAATACAGATTCTGATTTTTACCATTTAAATGCAGGAGGAATTCCAACGAATGGATCACGTATTTTCCTCATGCAACCTTCCCTCACCTTCATTTATTTTCTTTCTTAGCAGTTGCAATCATTCAGTTTTCTTAAAAAGCAAATACTTATTCTGACACACTCAATTTCAAATTATTGTCTTATGGTTTGCCTCAAAAAAAGAAATATTTTCAATCACCTCTTTAAAAGAAAGCTAATATAAAATAAAACACCCAAAGCAGTGGAGAATTCATGCCTATGGATACATTTCCACCAGKATCTTCAAGTGGACACAGGTTAGAAATCCACGCCTGCGGTCACAGTTCCTCAACATGCACAACCACACACGGCTTCCAAGGTATCTTTGGCACGTTGCATCCAGATGGCAAGGAAACCAGCCATTCCAAACACTCTTTTCCAACCATAGGTAGGCACTGCTGCAGACAGACATACCTTATTCCACCTCACATTGAGGGACTGCAGGCTATCAGAAAGCTCGTCCTTTTCCCGAGGGCAGACACTTTTATCCAAAATCACTTCAGGTTCAGTTCTGTTGAGCCAGTCCAGCTTGTCTCCCTGTCCTTCCATCTCTTCATTGAAGACCTAAGGAGAGAGAGAGCCGGGTTTGGGGCTGAAGCTCAAAGCACATGAGCTCAAAGGACAGCACTGCACCCACACCAGGCACCACTTTCCCCACAGTGGCACAAACCATCACGGACTGATGGAAGGTTACATCTCATCTCTAAGATTTCATACAAGGTATCAAAGCGTCCAACAGACAGGACACCAGGTGTTACTCACCCATCTTTAATTAACTTACTTTGCGGGCAATAATTTCTTAATGTTACTGAGAWTTCTAGTATGTTCTACTAAAAGTGCACTGAAAAAGTAACTTTTATTCATATAGTTAGATCTTATTCGCACCATTTTAAAATTAATGGCTTGTCTTCTTACAGTTTCAACAATTTTAAAAATGAGATCAAGTGACAACATGCAAAAGTAAAATTTCAACTTGCTCAATTGGATTGCTAATATATTCATTTCCCTCCTCCTGAAACACAGCCACCATCTTCTGGCCAGATAACAGTTACCAGTCAACCTGACTTCATTACAAGATGCTCCCTGCTCGGGTCTATACTCTCACAGAAGTATTTCAAATAGACRTATTTTTTTCTTGAGTACTTCTCATCGTGAAAATTTTCCTGTCCAACAGTCAAAACACACGTGCACATACACACACTCATCTCTCTTGCCTTTAATTCGCTCAAGTTTTCTTCATGGTTGAACGTAAATCTTGTATCCAAAGCATTTTCTACATTTTCCAGCCAGCAACGCAGCTCAGCAAGCTTCCTCCTGTAGTCTATCAGCTGCTGATTCTCACCTTTCAGCCTTAAAAACAAARCCACAGATCCCACTTACACRTCTGCAGGGAACAGGGTACCCCAGYCCAAACTACTCCCCTCATGACACGAACACATGTTTTCCAGCAACGACAGTATTTAATTCCAGTATTCAAAAAATTCTTGAAGATACATTCTAATTAATACTACGACTTCAAAAAATAGATAACCTTAGCTCAAAAGTATAAACCACACTTTAAAAAGTCTGTAGAAAACATTAAACGAAAGGTCGCTACCGTTTCTTTTAGGCCCTCAGGCCTAATCAATATAAATCACCTACACAGTCACMGTTTGTGAAAACAACAGAAAGGTCCCTAAACTCTGCAAAGGAAATCTTTATATTTCTTAATATAGATGCCCAAAGTAAATTGAGAAAAGCATTACTTCATTTTTCAATTCATTGGAAGACTTAAGGCATAATGACACCAGTAATTCCCCAAAATAACTARTCATTCCAGAGATTTATCATTAAAATTAAGTGGAAATTTTGTATCCTCAGATGCCCTGGAAATTTGYGCATTTATCTAGGACAATCTTTCATGCTGATTTTTTGAAGTAAATTTAAGCCTATTTCACTATGATTTTYATTTTGCTTAGAATTTACCTTGCCAAATGGATAAAATAACGGCTAACGTAGAGCTAAATCTTTTACTTTACAGCATCATTCCTGAATATCCACAGTGAAATAGTTTCAGCCAGTATCTCTGAGACAATGCAAAATTAAAATGCAAAGCCATGTATTTACAGTTGAGCTACTTCAGCCAGAGAAAACACTGTCTCCCCATCCTCTCCATCTCCCCACCAAAAACCAAACCTGGATTGGATTAGCAACGAAGGGACCTTAATAAACAAAAAAAACAAAAAACAGAGAAAAAAAAAGAAAAAGAAAAAACACACATAAAGAAAAGGAGTTTCTGTGTCTCTGTTTTACACATCCAATCCAATGACAGCCTCCCTAAGCCATCGATCACAGGTGGATTGATGAGAAAATGATTCTAGAAGACAGTTCAAAACCAGAGGTCTGAATGTCAGGAAAACACAGATTATTGACAGTGTGCTAGAGCACACACTGGTTCTCTCCGAGTCTTCTAAAGGACACTGTCCTCATCACCGCTGGTCAGACAGGCCCATTTCCAGTTGGCTCCTCACCTCTGCTGTCTCTCCGTGACCTCGGCAGCGATGGCTTTCCAGCGCCTGTTCAAGCCCACGAGCTTCTCGTGCAGGAAGCCCCCGTCCGTGGCAGAGAGCTTCTGTATGATCCCCTCCCCAGTCCTGTTGAGGGCTGAAACGCTGCTCTGGTGGCTGCTCACGCCCTCCTCAAGCTCCTGTTGGAAATACACACACAGTTTTATTACTGACCTAAAGCGACTTTGATCTGTGGCTCATAACACTGAGAGTCACTGCTTGGTGCACATTATTTTGCTAAAAAGGGCACTTAGAGCCATCTTGCCTAAAACTAGATGCAGTTGTTGTCAGTGAAGAGTCTGTTGTTGAATCTAGCTCAGTTTCTTAATGCATGTGGTAAAAGAAGATAATGACACAGAATAGGCTACTGAACACTACTTAGAATCAAAAGAAGTCATTTAAACCATCAGTACTAGAATCCCCACTCGCTTCTTATTTCTTTCCTCTTAATATGAAACGCTTTTTAACACCTGTAGCAGATGGTTTGACTTCTCAACCAGTTCTTCTCATTACACATGTCCCCAACTGTTTCTGCAACTTAGGGTATTTTAGCAAGGATAATAAYGGCTATGCTCTCCTGGTCTCTGAACACCACAGAAAATCCATGAAACTCTAAGGGAAGTCARAACAAATCAGGGCTAAATTTCGAGCATCCTTAATAACTATAAAAAGCTTACACTGTTAGTACAAACTCCTTTGCAACTAGAGGAGAAACAGGATGATTCATGAAAGAAAAACAGAAATACCCTGGAAAAAAAATCCCAGCAGTTCTGACAATGAGATACATTAGGTAGGTCGTATATCTCTTTTGCAATAGATACCTAACACTCATTTCTCGTGTAATAAGAAAAAAAATCCTCATCCTGAAAGTCATGTTCTCATCTCCTTATTTGCAAGACAATGAGGTAGTTTTAGTTAAGCAGAAAAGTCTGCTCTTTCAYAATGTTTATCTAGAAAAGCATGGAGTTAATTTCCAGAACTGAAGTGAGAAAGAATCCAATCTAAAGTCCAAGACAACTATAACTGTGGTGTGTGTGTGTGTCTGGACATCTTCTCTTTTTCCGGATTCCCTAGTCAAGGCATCATGTTGCAAAAATCATTTAAAACAGTCACGTCAGAAATAATCAGGCATGGTTGTTTTCATTTTTTCGTGAGTAGAAAATGAAACAACCTGCTGTATTTCTTAACTGATGAGCACACACATTTTTAAAGCTATAACACTGAAACTTTGAAAGTTACAAAAATGATGCCCAAGTTGGAAGTATGAAATCATCTCAAGCCCGTCCATGCCAGGAGTCATCATTAAACCACAGCAAGCGTTGTGACCTCCCTCAAACCACCCAAAGCGACATTTGCTAAATAAACGTTARATTGCCCCTCTCTGCAGTCCATTGTACAGACTAGTTTCCAGTCGCGGCCTGCGMGTCCACAGAGGGCCGGGGTGCCGCGCGGGGGCCGAGGCTGCCCCCCGCTTGCCCGTTCCCGCTGAGCCGTGCCCACCTGCTGGTGCAAGGCGGCCGCCTCCAGCGCCACGCTGCCGTCGGCGCTGCGGCCGGCGGCCAGGAGCCCTTCGGCCTCGGCCACCCACTGCGAGAGCTCGCTCAGGTCGCAGTGGAACTGCCTCCAYGCCTCAAGCGCCCTGTCGAAGCAGCTGTTGGGAAACAACAACAGACGTTTGCAAAGGCATCCAGGGCAACACGGAGGAGAAGGGAGAATCCGGGCGCTGCAGGGGCCCGACCACTCGCCCCGCCGAGGGAGAGGCTCAAAGCAAAGCCTTGCCTTGCAGGCAAAGCTAAGCCTGGAGCAAAGCGCCCGCCCGACCCGCAGGAGCTGCCAARGGGCCGGAGTCACCCCGACTAACACACCAAGGCAAAACACAGAGGCAGCCCTTGGCAAGCTTTTCCTTCCATCACTAAGCTAACTAAAGCTTGATTAGGCGCAGCAAGATGGTCTGCAGAACCCTCTTCTTTATAATAAAACCGCTAGGATATCAGAGAGTGGGAAATATGAAATATGATTAATTGATCAGGGCTTTTTTTCCCCCCATCCCCCTCCATAAAGCCATGGGCTGCTGCTGCCTGGAATCCAGTAAGTGAGGGTGATTTTGGCTGCATAGAACTGACCGCACTGCCAGTGCACACGCATACGTGGGTCTCACAAAGTTCATCCCACCATTATTTTCCACGCGTTTTGCTATTCTGGCTGTATTTGGAATCACRAGTTAATGTGCACACTAACTTGGAAGGCCATGTTTTCTAGCATGGAAAAAAGTTGAATTACCACAATAAGAGTGCTAAATGGTTGTTATTAACTAGCTAAAGAGACAGCTCCCCACAGCTAACAAGCTAGCAAGAAGAGTAGGTGAATGCTAAGCAAGAAAAGCCCTTCAGGAAGACACCGAGAGCGACTTGTTTCCAATTGCTCATTGCTAACATTATGTCGGCATCACAGAGAAAATGGGACAGATGTCTCGAAGGACACAGGACTCACTCAAGGCAAACACCATGAGAGCTACATCAACTCCAGCAGGGGGATAGCAGCCCATTCCAAATTGCTAAAAAAGTCTTCTTAAAAGACATAGGAAGGCAGGTCTTGYGCTAATCTGAGGGCCTCCACTGATGTAACAAGAGGGAAGATCAAGATTGTACCTGTGACCCATTATTTTTGTCTAAATCCCAACAGAGAGCAGCATTATACTGCAGATATGCAGATGCAATCTGCAATTAGCTGTGTAACATCAAAGTTATCTGAAGCCAAACTTTAAGGAGTTACCACTGAATCTCATTTTCCCCAATAATTAAATTCAGCAAACAGTTTCATTCACATTATGCCTTCGTTTTAACCAAGACTTACCCATATTTCCTGCAAACTTTTTTTTTTGGGGGAGGGTGGTTACTATTATGCACATAGTTCAATTCTAAAGAAGGAGAAATCCTGAAAAAACATGTATTTAAATCCTGCAGACCCAATCTTCTAAGTTTCTGGTCAACTCTGCTTAATTGTTAAAAGTCAATGAGATTTTACTGACATGTAGAAAAGGAAAAAAACAATACATAAAGCTTTTAAGTTACCAAAAAAGGCAAAAAACCAGGCCAAAATGTAGCACGTCTCATACATGAAAAGAAAACAAGGTCGCTGAGCTGCAGACATAAACACAAAAGCAGCAAGTGCCAAGAGCAACCAGCAGCCCCTGCCCGGGCAGCACCTCCAGCAGGCTTGTGAACACCTGCCCATAGCCAGACACAACAGAGAACATCAGCCTGTGTGACAGTCTTCCTAAAAGCATCTCCTCAAAAGATGCTACTAAACGTGTGTGACGACAGATCTGCAGTGCCACAAATGAAGCRAACATGGCCACACATTACAATCTACATGATATTTGCATTAACTATCACTTTTTACCACTACGATTGAAAAGCAAATACTGTAAAAGGTAAATGTAAGCACAGTATGAGCCTTTTGACTTAATTCTAACGTTTGACAACATTTCCTTTTCAGTCATTTACTCATCTACTACTGCTTGCAAAACAAAGTGGCATAGAGCTCATTTTTTAACATTTAAGAAGGTTTCAGATGAAAAGATGTTTTCAGTGGAGAAACATCATCTGTATAGGGCTGCGTTAAAAATTAATGCACCATTTAGCTCAGTTTTCTTTTACTTTTGGGCATAAGTGAAATTGCAGCTTTTGAGACTCTGGCGAAAAAGAAATTTTGTGTTTTATAAAATGACAAAATAAAGCAATTGGCTTCATGAAAGCACCCACACTAGAACCTGCATGCTGCCTGTTTCAACATTCACTGACATACGAAATGCTATTCCCAAACTCCAAAACTACATCGTTTGGATACCTCTGTAAAACATTTATGTTCAAGTACATAAAGCAGCTACCCCTTGGTCACACAGACCAGAAATCCTCCACTTACCACTTACGATCATTGTACATCCTATTAATTCTGTCCCATTCGGCATTCAGCTGGGTGAGAGCATCTCCTATTTGGATGGCCTCGGGTCCAGACGCTTCCAATATAACGTCAGGCTGCCTCTCGTGTATGACCGCAATCTGATCCCCAAGTCTGTCCAAAATATCCTTTATGTTCTACAAGTACAGCAGGGACACAAGCCATTAGTAAAGTCAGCACCAGCAGGAAAAAAAGAAGCCAAATAATCCATCTGAAAAATACTGTTCCAAAATCAGTATCCACAGTAAGGCTGTGACACAAGCACCACTGGTTGATAGATGTAATTAACTTAACACTGCAGCATAATAGGCCTTCAAACCTTCTAACCTACTAAAACAAAAACACCTGTGCTGTGATGGCATTTCACATTCTTTCCTTACTTACAAATATGAGTCGCAAGATGTTTSATATTGTTGTTTACATGAACTCTCATATACACAGAACTAAAAAAGGAAAAGCTACACAGTCGTAGTTTAAATGACAATGTATGAGACAAATGACAAGCCAAGCAACCTGCCTCAAACCCGGCTGAACCACGGCGTGGCGATACCTTGCTAGAAACCAGACAGCATTTTGGAAACACCTTAGCAGAGAGAACAATCATTCCATGGTGCCAAGAGTGACATTTATTACATTTTCGAATCTAAAACCTCACCACTTCTAAATATTCTGTGTTCTGCTATTTTCTTTTTTTCTGAAAGTGTTTCCATATCACTAAAATTTTGAAATTTTGGTGAGTTTCAAGACCTGCACCAAAATGAAATCTTTAAATCCCAGCTTAGTATAACCACTCCTAATTGCACTTAGGGTAGCACATTAGCAGAGCAAACAGGGAAGAGAATCTCATCAGCTAAAGAGGCAAATCACTCTGGCAAAGGCTGGCACCATTTCTCTATTTCCTTTCAGAGACGATGTGAAAAGCCAAACATTCAATATAACTGTTTCATGGTCATGTCCAAATACAAAATGCAAATGTTCTCTCCTGTTCCTGAGCTAKTAAACAGTAAGAGCTCCAGAAAACGCTTGGCAGGTAGCCCATGGGGAGCCTGCAAGTGGAAGGGTGCCAAGGGTGCTAACTGCTGCTCTTCCTTTCCTTCAGTGGCCTCCACAACCACTTGCTAAGGGGTTACCCAGTATCAGGGCACCCAAGGCAGCAGGGGTGCCTTGCAGCCTGCAGGAGGGCAGGCTGAGGAAGAGGAGGAAACSAGAAGGAAGAATAAGGTACGAGGGCAGCATATTGAGAGCACAAGGGCACCAGAAGGTCTGCATGGAGCACTGGTGGGAAGAGAACGGTGTCAAATTCTGAAGGAGGTTTAAAGGGCACATAGAGTGGGTACAGAACCAGCTGAGCTCGCTCTGGGTGACAGGTAAAGTGTCACCAGCCCCAGCGCAAAAAGCCCAAAACCCCAATTGTGCTTCCCAGCGCACAAGGGGATATTCACACCGCCTCATGAAATATCCAGCTTAAATGGATGCTTCCTGTGCTCCTTGTGCCTGCAGTCAGCTCCAGGACTCAGGCTTTGGCATCTTTAACTCACTTATGAGCAGGAGTCACAGTTTTTAAAAGTACTTTTGTGATTCTGTGATTTCCTTTGGAAGTGCAAATTCTCAACAACTTCCTCATAGCTGATCATGTGAGCAGGTGCACAGACTTGGAATGAGGAGTAGTGGCAGCTCAAAATTAGTGTTTTGCTAATAAGAGCCAAACGAGCACTCTTGTCTTGGGGCCTTATTCAGTATGAAATTAACCTCAAGAATAGCCCTTTCTGCCTCTACCAGGTGAGCAACTGTTTGAATACAGCACAAAGAAGCAGTTATTAAAGGGACCAGCAAGGAGCATGTGGAGCTCACCTTTAATGCTCACATATAAAACACACAACCTATACAATGAAAACATTTCTATACATTCTATAGACATATAACATTTCTATAACATTCTCTCATTTCTATAATGAGAGACAAACCCTCCACCACTACATTACATAATTCTTAATGTATACTGATCTGACACATGTCGAGTGAAAAAGCAGCTACTCCTAACAGTTCTTGGGGAGACTTCTGTTTGATCAGCTTGGTTCTGCTCGTCCCTCCTCCCCTCCCAACCTCACGCTGAGAGCAGGCAGTACCTTCAGTGCATCCTCCTGAGTTGAGAAGTCCTCATAGATGCCAGTGTTCAGCTCCGGGGCGTTCAGCAACAGCTCAGCATCAGCCATGGCCAGCAGGACCTTGTTGATCTCAACCAAGTACTCGGCTGAAAAAGGCAAGGCCCGAACCCCAGGAGCGAAGTGGCCTGTTGCCCGTTGCTGCACAGGGATGGGCTACAGAAACAGGAAATTCACTTCATATCTCAAAGCACAAATCAGTTTAAGGAGAAAAATAGCCTAAATCAAAAGGCTGTATTCTGAATAAGTGCTTTTCTACATTATAAGACAAATTGGTTTGACTGAAAAGCCTTTCTTTTATTTAATTTCAGAAAGCCCCAAGACCTACAAAGCACCAGGCTGGTCCTATATTGACATTTAAAAAAAAAAAAAAAAGGTATAAAACACTACCTAAAATGCTTCAAAATATCTTTGGGGAGTGGGAAGGATGTTGACTGCTTTGGTTCCTCTCATCTTGATTCTTAGTGTTTTACAGAAGTATCACTCGATGGGACTTGTATCTGCTGTTGCCATCAAATGCCTTTGGCTGCTTCCTTGGTCACAAAGACCTCCTGCAAGTTATCAGTTCAGCAAAGCAAACTCATTCACTTTCCATGTTCTCCTCAGCAGCCATCCCCACCCCCACTTCCCAAACCATTTTTAAAATTAATTAAGGCTCCATTGATATTAAAATACTCATTTTCCAGTAGTAAGAGATACTAACTCCTTCAGATCTTAGCAATCATTATCTAGCCAAGTACCACTCAGCAGATAAGAAAGCAAGGACAGCAAATTTAACGCAGCTTTTCTTACAACGCGCTAGATCTGAGCACTGCACTCCGTGTCTTCAGAAGCTTCCTTAAAAAGCAGCAGTATTGGTGCCTTTTGCCTAGCAGAGGCAGCAGGTGCTCCACATACTGAGCYCAGATTCCTGCTGAAACAGTTTCTTGTCCGACAGGATCCCGGTACCATTCTTGGAAACCTCACAGTTCTTAAAAAGGAAACCCAGTGCCAGCCATGGAAGAATTCACTGAGTTGCTGTCTCGTACACAACCACTTTGAGTTTGCAGCAAGACAGAGGAATAGAGGGGTTCTGCTTTTTGCATGATTTAAAAGCCATGGCTGACAAGATAGGTAAGATAAATCACCTGTTCAGGGTGTAAATAACCTAGTGCAATCTACTGGGAATTACTCCAGGYTGGGCACACACGTAGCCAGTTAGCACAACTGGCAACTAGGAAAATACTAAGCCCTTCTAACAAGGCTGTTTGGAGGCACCTGTCTTTATCTTTATCCTTCATGTCGTTCTGAGCATTTCAAGTATGTCATTCACATTATCTGGAACCTAAATACACCGCTCATGCGGTTCAAAAGCAAAAAGGACTGCAGCAAAAAGCATGTCAGCTGATTTCAGCACTCAGGAACTGATCTCATGCACCGAGTGCTCCTAAGGATGTTTTAATTTAAGAGCACACAGTCATCTCCCAGAAACTGACCCTGGGGATCCAGCTGTACTTCCAACAAGACCTTTACCACAAAATACGCCGCGATCGAGTCATTCACTGCGCACCGAAATAATGATCTACACGCAAATACCAAACACCTTAAAATAAGCAGCATTAACTTCTGATTCAATGCCACTACGATAAGCAAGTTGCAATAAAAAACATCCACTACCACATATGCTTTAGTCAGGAGTCCAGAACGTGCTCCCTGATGCCCTCCAGGCAAATATTTTCTTGAAATGTTGTATATGTTTTGCCAGCTGCCTTCACTGAAGCAGAGACCAAAAGGCCAAGGCTTTGCTGTGACTGCCCCGTGGCCACAGAGGCTCTGGTCCCCAGGACAAGAGGAAAGTGCAGGAAACTGAACACATCTTCTCCCCTGCAGCGCAGACAGCGCTGGACACAGCTGGGTTACAACAAACTCTTTACATCTGTTGCAGCTCAGCAGTTTGCTCTGTTTGCACAAAGTGCTGTTTTCCAACACTCCACCACGCCAGAAGGCCCATTTGCACACAGAGAGCAGTCCAAAAGCTGGACTTCACCCAAATAAAAGCTCCCTGGAGTTACTTTATCACTCTGTTTCACACACACTGCTTCCCCAAACAAAACTCCCACGAGGTTCCAACAGCATGTGCTAGCGGGCAGCACACTGCGCTTCCACGCGCTGAAATCCTGATGCTTCTCCTGAAGCTCTCCGCTTTCCCCCGGCACCGCGCCGGGCCCGGATGCTGCTCCGCAAAGCAGCGGGARGCTCCCTGCTGCCCTGCAGCATCACAGCATGGTTGAGGTTGGAAGGGACCTCTAGGGATCATCCAGTCCAAGCCTGATCATGCTCCAGCAGGGACACCCAGAGCACGGGGCACAGGCGGCATCCAGGCGGGTTTGGAAGAWCTCCAGAGAAGGAGACTCCACAGCCTCCCTGGGCAGCCTGTGCCAGGGCTCTGGCACCCTCACAGGAAAGAAGTTCCTCCTCACATGGAGATGGAACTGCYTGCGTTTCAACTTACACCCATTGCCCCTTGTCCTGTCACTGGCCACAGGTGCCGTTTCCTCCTTCCGCAGCCGCTCTTCCCGATGCGAACACACCACTGCCTCACTGCAGGTTTCACTGCAGCTGAGTTTTAGGTGTTCGGCTCTTCCCAGCCTTCCACTGCGGGCCAGCAGCTTCTGAAAAGCAGCCTGAATGTCACTGGTTCCTGGAGGAGCAGGAACCTGTGGCTCAGCTGCGTCTCATGCACACACCTGAATCTCACAGAGCTGGCCACCTTCCAAGCCACACCAGCATGTGCTCCGGGCCTTCTCTAGCAGCCAMAAATAAAGGAGTTAATCAAAGAGGATTTATGAGAAAGCCTGACTGTATGACCATACTGCCCTGTTCTATTCTAATTTTACTGGTGAGAGAGCAATTTTATTCCCTTTGACTTCTCTCCCCCCCAAAAAAAATCCTAGGGGAAAAGTAGGTCTGGGGAAATACCTAGTTACAAGTGCACATTTTATGAAGACGACCTTCCAACTAACGCTGCTAAAAATAACGATATTTCAGTAGTCAAATAAAAAAGCTGGCTCCTCCCATCTAGTCTGACCTGCAATTCACATTGGGTTTTAGGTTTTCATCCTCCTTTCTCAGTTTACACTTATACTTCATACATTTTGAAAAAAAAAAAACTAAATAACGATGATTCAACTTGGGCAGGCTTCATTTCATATGCATTTTGGAAGACACAGTCCTAATAYTAATGTTCCTATTCAAACACAATCAAGAACTTTCTCTGTAAAAAGCCTAACCGACAAATAATCATGTTTTCTTTACTATAAAAATACTACTTAAAGAACCTTCAATATGACGTCTGTATTCCAGTTTATGTAAGAAACATCTGAATTGATCCATTCTTTTGGGAAAACACTATTGCTCCCTTCAGGAATGGTATGAGCCATTCCTGAGAGAGAGCAATATGAGAGAGATGGGAATGAAGGAGAAATGAGAAATAAATAAATAAATAAATAGGAAGAGAGAAAAAGAAAAAAGCAAGCAAGCAGAGCCTCAGGGCAYGGATGTTCAAGATCAATCAGTAAAGCAGGTAAGAGCAGGAGCCACAAAAACAAAGTAAGGTCACGAGAGGTAGGCTGGCTGCTGCTCAAATATTTGAGGACTGGAGGTGAAGGCAAATGAAACAAAAGAGTTTCAGAATTTCACAGCAGTAACAAAACTGTTATGAATCTTATCTCATGTTTCTGAAAACCCATCTGATTCAGCTAAACTAGAAACTACTTCTGGAAACGAAGGATGTTTTATCTGAGCAAAGGTAACGCTTCCCCACTAATAGACTTGTAATTGCTATTATAGCCCATATTTACACAGTATTCTGTATTTAGGAATTCAACTACTCAGGAATTCACTTTATCCAGCAAGGCCGGGATTTGGCTTCAGAACTCAGAATATCACTTTACAGGAAGCAAGAGAAGACCAGCCACCCTGCAGCGAGATCAACAGCGACCAGAAGAGCCAGCCTGGCGCACAAGCTGTTTGCTCCTGTGGGCCAGGAACCCTCCATGTGCACTTTCCTTCTTTTAATCTCTGACAGAGTCACTCCAAGCAGCTGATGTTCAAACAGCAAAAAGGAATCAGGTTGTTTTATGCCAAGTGTCTATGGATGCGTATTTCCTGCAACCACATTTCTGGCATTAGGTAGGTCCCACCAAGGAGGTTCACGTGCCAGGTCACGTTCCTTGTTCCCCAGCAAACAAGCAGCAGCCACGAGTGGGGGTCCAACACAAGAGAGAGAAGCTGGTGATCAGACGTGGGGCCAGCTCTGCTGCCCAGCTGTCAGCCACGGTGCACATGGGAAGCTGCTCGTAACTGCAAACCTCTCCAAAGAGCAGGCTAAGGAAGGTTCACTTGGGTGCTAGCAGTCAGCGTGCCCGGGCAGCGCAGACTGCCTGCTATGGGCCCATGGCTCTCAGGGTCAGCTGGAGCCATGTGGCTTCAAGTGGAGCTGCCAATGGAGACCCGACATTTCAGAGCACATGGAGCGCTCACGAGGAGCCACATTCCATGTTCCCTCCACCTCCTGATTAATTGGTCYCGAGTTAAAAAGTTACAGAGCAATCAAAAGAGATTGATTGGTTTTACTTATGAAGCTTCATAACCAGAAACTGAGAAGTATTTAGACTACCTAACACCCAAGCTTGTCCAAGAAATTACTTACTGCTTCACAAGACTTCTCATTGTTCTTGTCTAAAATACTAATGGATTAATGTCTAAATATTAAAGTACCATGCAGCCAAAGCATTTTGAATAATAAAAAATGAGGAATTAAATAAGGAAATATATATACACACACTATATGTATATATTTATATTTTTAAAAAGGTATCTTCATCCTCAATAACTAAGACAAATAGCTTTCTGTGCAAAATCTGAGTAAACTTTATCAGAGAGATTGTGCTCAGCCTCCCAAGCTTTGAGAAACATTTTTTTTTTCTATGTTATGTTTATTTTAAAAAMTCTTTCGAATGACAAAATTCCTATTTTGGAATTGCAGAGATTCAAAGAGTCAGAATGTGTGGGTGCATAGGCACCCACATGTAGAAATGTCAACATTCCTAGAGTATTTTATAAGCTAAAGAAAGCCACAAACAAATTGCAAACAGGCTATTAAAAGAAAGACTGTGTGAGGAAGGAGCTGTAATTGGGAAAGTTATCACAACGATACCTGTGTGTTGTTGTACTTAGTCTGCAGAAGCAACAACTGCAGGCGGATCTTCTCTCTCTTAGTGTCCTCCATGGGCTGCTGCAACAGCTGCCCTCCTCTCTGCAAAACCTCTTCAATCTGAGCTCTTTCTTGATCCACCTAAAATTACAAAAGTCCACAGTCATCTACAGAAAAGCACAGCTGTGGCTTCCAAAAGGAATTTAACACTGCCCAGATATTAATAGTAACAGTTTTGGTTTTGTTTTTTTTTTTTAATTATCCAAATGTCAACTAAATAAATCCAAGCAAAGACATTTCTCTCCTCCAGAACTATCAAATCCTAAAAAGCTCCTTAGTCATGCTATAAAATTTGCCCTGCAGGAGGCTCCCTCACGGCTGGCTGCTGCTGCCTGTTCAACAGGACTAGGCTAAGACCTCAGATCCATTTATGACTTTATAAACTAAAATTTAAATTTAAAAAGATGTCTACCCTAGACACTAGAAAAGAGGACTAAACTAACTGTCAAYTGCAAAGTAAAATGTCAGCTCCAGTAAGTAATCATTGCAATAGAAGCTCAGAGAGAGCTTCTCTCCAAAAGAGAGAAGCTCAAACCAAAAGAAAATGGTTTACACCCCATTATTTACACAGGGAGCATACCTGACAAACAGCTACTTTAAGCAGAAGGGGAATGAAAGTCAAAGTTCCCTCCAAACAGCAGATTTTACAAAATCGCAATGAAAAGAGACTGAAAAATTACTGGTTACCACTTGGCACCAACCAAGGAAAAGCAGCAGCTATGGGAAAAGAATGAAGAAATSACGTAGTACTTCCAACAGCCTGGAAATTCCCTTCATTTTTGATTACTAGCTTAAAAAAAAAAAGTCTCTCAAAAAAAATCCCTGGAATCCAGGAGAAAGGTGGCGCTGAACTGAACACAACAGAAAACAGGAAGACGCAGCCAGCTTTCTTCTTCTTCCAACAAACCTTTTCATCTTCCTCACTCAACTCCAGATGCTTTTCCACAACCTTTAACATGTTCTGTATGTCACACTCAAATTTGTCCAGGTCTGGAAAAGCCACTCTGACTTCACGAGGCTCTGACATGACAGGAARTCGTTCTTGTCCGACAAGCATCTGCAAAACAAAATAAAACGCTTTTCAAAGCGAAAAGAAAATTTAGGTTGAGATGTCATACACATTCCCATGGAGCACTGGTTTAAATTATCAGCAAGCATGTAGGACCACCAGATATTTGTATAATAAAACTGCAAGAGCTGTTTGATGTAACACTGAAAGTTAGCTTGTAAAAAGTGCTGCTAGGTCCTGGCAAGACTTCTAGCTTTAATTCCCAAGCTGCACATCTTCATATTAAAAAGAAAAAACAAATCAAACCAAAGAAACCACCTCCAGTTACATTAGCTTAYGGTGTCTGGTCTGTCGTTCAAATAAATAAATACCATAATATTACATTTTTCTGAATCTTTATAATATCCAATTATTTGTTAACTTCCCCTTGCAACTCAAGTCAGTACCTGCTGTCTAGGTAACTCAGAAAGCAACTATCAAAAATAAGTCAACCCATTCTCAGTATGTAAATCCCGCTAATAAACCAGAATAGCAAAGCTCTGTTTTAGCATCTGTCCCCAAGCTATTTTCCATTGCTTTGGTGTAGAGACCCCAGGCCCGCTGGGCGGCCCTCTCCTCCCTGCTCACCTTGGCGCTCCTGATGTGCTGAGAGACCTTCTCGAAGTTGCGGTTGAGCTCGGCCAGCTTGGGCTCGACCAGCTCGCGGCACGAGCCGCCCCGGCCCTTCATGAGCACGAGGGCCTGGTCCCGCACGTTGTTCACGCGCAGGCTCACGTCGTCCAACTCGCACGTCAAGCGCTGCGGGGGGCGAGGAAAAGCAGGCCCGTGCGTTAGCCAACGTACAGGGAGCGGGAGGAAAGCAGCAAACTGGACTTGGTTTTGTCTGGAAGCCAAAAGAGGGAATTTGGCAGCTTGCTCCTTTAAAGGCAGCACTCCCTACCTTGACCGTTTCCTCCTTCTTGCTCGCTGGCTTTTTCTCAATCTCATCCAGCAAGGCTTCAGCCTGATACAGCCACGTACTTATGTGGGCAACRTTTTCATCAAAGATCTCCAGCTGGCTCTGATGATTCTGGAAAMGAATGGGGGAAAAAAAAATTAAAAGGTATATCTATTTCATCTACACACRGGAATAAAAATACCTCTAATATTGTGAGGTGGAAGGAGAACCAATGAAACAGAAAGTGTTACAAAAAGCCTTGGAAAGAAACAATGAGAATTATATCCTACTATACCTAGGGTATTGATTTTACCCTCAATAAACATTCAATAAATATTTCCAATAACTCAATTTTCAATGTAGATCCTTCAATATTATATTTCCTAATTAACAGGAAGGAGAATAGAGAAGTAACTGACAGTTTGCCCAAGAAATTACAGCCAGGCAATGTATTACATTACAAGCAGACCAACCAGACCACAACACCTCGACTAAGGCCTTTTTCTTGTTTGCATTTTTCTTTCTATATTTTTCCTGTGAAAAGCAACAAAATATGCTCCAAACCCAGAGAAGATCAAGGCTAGTTTTCAAAAAAATAAAAATAAAAACACAGTGAAACTGCCTGCACCCAAAGTCAACAGAATGAAAAAGATTCTCAGAACATACTGTTTTCTAGTTATAACTGGCAGAAAAAACAGTAGCCATTTCACATGAAATACACCCAACTCACAAACTATGATGATATTGTACTGATTACACATACTAATTAGGTCTGCTTTCATAGCTAGGCAGAAATTGTAAGGTTACATACAAGGAAAAATAATACATTATTTCCTTACCTGATACGGGGAAATTGCAGGATCCCACAAGGTATTAACAAAATTACCATATATATGTGTTATATATATACACACACCATACATATAAGTGTATATATATATATATAAACACTTATATATATACACAACTGTCTTAACAGGGCTAGAATTCAGAAATGGAAATGAGGAAACTGCAACAACTATGAATGGTGCTTGCTAAACATACTCGGGATTTTCTTGAAGAGGGCAGAGAGGTGGCACACGTGTACAGAAAGATGAAGTCATACCACAAAGCCTAGGGAGTGCAAGGACCCAGGCAAGTCCTACCACTGATGCCATAAGAGAGAAAGGAAAAGAAAAAAAAAAAAAAGTTGAAAATAAAGTTAAACCATGAGTTTTATTCTCTGCAGAAAAAAAAAAAAAAAAAAAGTTGAAAATAAAGTTAAACCATGAGTTTTATTCTCTGCAGCCTGGCAGGTTACTCCTCACCTGCCCAAGTCAGCTTTCTGACCATGTATTTACACAGTTTGATCGCTGCAGCATCCGCACTGAGGGCTTCTATCTCCCACCCACTGAGCAGTACCCACTGCTAGTGCTGAGCAGGCAGCAGTGATGCCCGCTGGCAAGCATAAAATGCTCAAAAAACAACTTCCCACCTTCCTCATTTCATATATCCTCATATCTCAGCTCCTCATCTACACAATAACCATAAATCCATTGATCCCTTTAAGTCCATGAAGGGCCACGGAAGCTTCATGTGAGGGCAAAGCCAGACAAATGGAAGCTGCAGCTTCTCCCAGGCTGAGGAGAGGCAGCCACCCCAAGGGCTCCTGGCAGAGCACCCTTACCAGCAGGGTGTCACACCAGTCTTCAGTCCACGTGCGCACTCTGCTCCAGCCRGCGTTCAGGACGCAGAGCTTCTCCTCCAGGGAGGTCTCGCTGCCTTCCACGAGCGCCTGCAGCGCCGTGCAGCTCTCCGTGATGCTCTTCAGGTCGCCCTTCCTCCTCTCCAGCTCCCTCAGCACGCTCTGAAACGAGAACCACCACGCTGCAAACGGCCCAGGTCGCAAAGGCACCGGGGCCAGGTTTTAGTTCCTCGGGAAACAAACAGGGCAATGGATGGGCTGCACAGGAGAAAATCCCAAGGAGGTAAAACTGGCCTCTGCATTGACTCGCTCTCTGTAGACATAAGTCTCTTTTCTCAGTGAATTCGCTTTCAGTCGTGCACCAGACAGAATTTGGTCCTCAGAGATGCCTTGAATTTGTCAGTACCTTCTCCCACTGACACCCGCTCGTGCTTGGCAGTAACGGGGGACTGGAGGCCAAGCCTGGGCGCTTTTGCCCCGTGCCTGTGCTCACTGGACAAAGCCCAACTGCTTTACTGACCATATTTACCTATGTAAACATAGGTATAGGAAGGAAAGGGTATTTAGCTCTTTTTTTTTTTTTTTTTTCTAAGCCATCTCTGATTTCAGAGTTTGGTTTATCTAGCAGAGCGACCGCCTGTGCAGGAATGCATGTTTACCACAGAGCTCAAACACCACACCATCTCCGGAGCAGCAGCAGCTGATCACCACATGGAAAATCACATCTCTTCACACTGATAATTACCGATACAACTCGACTATTCAGAAAAGCTCTTTCATGACAACAAGGTGCATTCTTTCACATCACATTCAATCACAGATGGTGTCTGCAGCTCTACAAATATCCTAATATCCATTAAATATTTATTAATGGCAATATCTTTAGAGTGTAATACTCAAGTTACTATATTTTTGACTTGCTTCTAGAAATCCTTATGACAGGAATGTAACTTTTAAATTTAACAAAAAAGTTCACCTTCCTGATGRTGCAATATAACAGTTAATGAATTATTTGCATTATTTACAAAGGTATAGTACATGTATGTAAATATTTACATGGCAATTTGGAAAGAAATTTTAAGGAAATTACTACAGCACAAATATAGTGCTAATAATTTTTAACCCGGAGTGAAATAGGTGAGAATATGTTGTAATCAGATACTTAGTTTTGTATGCCTTCATTATTATTATTGTACACAGTTCTACTGCAAAAGAAAAAAAGTGCCAGAAAACACTGTTGAGATTTGTCCTTTGCACTCTGCTTTACAATGCTTAGAACAGATTCTTCTCCTTCCGTGAAAAAAAAATCCAGATTAAAGACAAAGAATTCAATCAGCAATGTCTACTGCTTTATGTTTTACAAACTCACAACTCTGAAGACAAAGTAGACCGTTTCAAATTCCCCTTTTCATTAAAAGGTCAATATATTTTCAGTTCACTCTACTGATGATTTTTGATACAGCAGGAATTTAGATTTACCAAAAATCAATAAAATGGTACCTATGAACTCTGTTAGGGATACAGTAAGTTACTTAGATATCTATTAGTACCGAATATGCTGTAATATATTTACTATTTTAGTTTCTGAATTAAGATGCCTGATATGAAACAGATCAATTCCAGTGAAGTACTGCAAAAGATCTTCCGAAAAATACTAGGTTCATCGCACAAGGTATTTTGGAACAAGCTCCAGGGATTTAAACTCACAGCACCTTCCGGATAATTTTCCCACACTGTTAAAAGTATTAATTTATGGTGTATATTTTTAAAGCACGCTCACCTTAGCCCAGGCAATTTCGGAATCCAGATCAGAGAGCAAGCTCTCCGAGGTGGACTTCTGCACGAGCTCAGCCTCAGTGGCCGCCAGCCACTCCGACAGGGAGGCAGCCTCCTTCCTCAGGCGGCGTGCCAGCTGGGAAGCTCTTTCCAGGTCTTGTTTTCCTTCCGTCACCTACAAAGAGAGACAACGGATTTTATTAAAATACTTTTTTTTTTTTTTTTTTTTTTTTTTTTTAGTACAGCATTTCTTCTTTATTTCTTCTTGATTAAATCAGAGTCTAACATTATTCTGGTCTAACTTGAACATAGATTAGAGAATTAACCCAACCACAGCTGTTAGAATTGATTGATATTTACAAAAAAATTATCTTCCACCNTTTTTTTTTTTTTTTTTTTTTTAAAGTACAGCATTTCTTCTTGATTAAATCAGAGTCTAAATCTTTCACAAGGGAATGACCCTGGAAAGAAAAATAATTATAAACATCTTCATCTTACTATCTAAAATAGAATGCATAATGCTAGAATAAAAGTAAAATATATGGAATCCAGTCAGTCACTGTTAAATATGTAAAATTCTTTTTTTTTTTTTTTTTGGTATATATTAAGCAGGCCCCATAGCAGGAAACAGTAAAAGGAAAAAAAAAATCACAGAAATATTAGTCTTGAAAATCTTGAAAAGATGTCATTAAGGAGAACACAGACTATGATGCTTGTTGCACTATAATCAGTTCTATCTCACACTAACTACACATTATTCTGGTCTAACTTGAACATAGATTAGAGAATTAACCCAACCACAGCTGTTAGAATTGATTGATATTTACAAAAAATTATCTTCCACCTCAATTTAGTGTTCACATGTATTTATTTAAAATCATAGTCTTTGAAGCTCTTTAAAAATAGTCCAGACACAAATCCACATCCGCAACGTTATATCACAAGCCATTTGCCCATCTCTCATGAACTTCTTGTCCACATATTTATGAGCTATATAGCTATATATGAGCTACAGCTATATGTAGTCCCACTGGAATCTACGTCTTTTTAAAAGCTGTCCACTTTATAGCAATGAAACATTTTCTAGAGCCCATTTCAAGTTGCTCCAATAATGTCATTTGGCTGCTTCACAGCTTCCCTCACTAAAGGCATCACAGCTCKGAGTCTGTGGTGGAGGGGCGGGGAGACTGAATGAATGAATAAACAAATAAATAAATACTCTATTCTCACCTCATCCTGGCAAAGATCTCCCCATTTTTAAATGATTTCATTTGGACAATTAACAATTCCATTACTAACTAAACTACCCAAATGCGTATTTCTTAGCCGTTCTTCAGAAATGTTGCGTTTCCTCTATACTCAAACTTCATACTGAGGATGACTCTTTAAATAAACTATGACTAGAAACTATCACTATCCTCCCAAAAAAAAACATTTATGGCCTTTAACCATGAAGAAACAACTACGAGGTATCCTGTGGGGTATTTTAGAAACTGTTTTTTTAAAAAAGCTTCTGTACTATAATTAAGTATCAGGGAGTTTTTGTTTGTTATTATAATTATCGGGAAGTTTTTGCTTGCTTGCTTTTTAAGAGAGCAGTTATAAACTGGTTTATAGACAACATAAAAAAAGCTGCAGTATAAAAACAATGTAAGGAGTAGCAGGTCAAAATGCTGAAAGCTCTATGAGCCTTCCTGCCTTCAAGAACACCTGTATTCAAGAACACTTCAGGATCACAGGCATGCTGCATAACTACAGGATGGTTAGCTGTAATCTCTAATCTCTGATTGCTCCTGCATGCAGCACTAGCCCATATAGATCAGAAACAGGAAAAAAAAAAAAAAAAAAAAAAAGCAAGAAAGTAGCTGACATCAAAATAATAGAGGATTTCCTCTGTATGTATATATTATTTTTCTCACCTGTGCACCCAGGTCATTATAGAGAAATTTCAGTGCTGTTAGTTGTTCATCCATTCCTTTGGGATTATCTGTCTGTTGTTTCTGCACAATTTGCCTTCCTGTCTTGATGACAGTTTCAACTTCCAATTTCACCTCACTGAGGGTTTTATAGAGCTTCTGAAAAACATACGTTCACACAATAGTGATTACTTAGAGTTAATAGAGTTCACAGTTCAGGTGTTCCCATTTTGCTTGATTTTGGGTGCCTGCAGGGAACCCAATCCTCAGCAGGCACTTGAGCTCTAAAAGCTGTGGATCAAGAGCAAAGCAAAACAGGCAGTGGAAAAAATATCTGCTAAGTAGACTTCAAATTCCTGATTTCATTGTTTTACTCTATTTTAAGATTTTTATAACAATATATAGATTTTTATTATAATAGTTTAGCAGTATTTACTCCATAGCATCATCACAGCTGGCAGTGCTGCTCCTGTGATCTATTCTTGATCTTACATTTTAACAAAATAAATAGGAAGAACTCAGCAAACTTGCCCCTGGAGCAGCGCTTCTCCACAACATCAAGATGAGCAAGGGAGATGATTTTTTATAAACTCAGCTGTTGTACCCTTGTGTCCAGAGCCTAACAAATCATCTCCACATTCTCATCCAGAAGAATTACACACTGTTCTGCTGGTGATTTTTGGAAAAATGAAATAGCGTTTCCTTTTCTACAAGACTTCAAGATAAAATTTTATGAGGACAGAGTTTAAACAAAAAGAATCACACAGGGAAGAAACAGCCACAAATTTGAATTAAGAATACTATACACTTAAGAATACTGCATACTTACCATGCAACTGTCCAAATGAGCTTGGATTACATCCGGGTCAGTATCCTTCACATCCAGGACATGAAGTTCTGCTTTTACACCATCCAACACCCGCTTGCAATCTAACATGCGCTGTTCAAAATTGGCTGGTTTCTGGAAAAGCTGATACTTTGTAGACACTTCCCGGAGTTTTCTCTGTTTTAACAAATWATCTGTTAAAAGCTTGTTTAAAATTAGTTTTAAATCAGTAGCTGTGCTTTGGGGAAGAACAAAATGAACRCATTGCCCTCAGATTCTATTTCACCTCTCATGCCACAATTCAGTATTCACGTCAAACCATTTGCCAAGAAAAATTCCATCATCTATTCCTAACCTCCATCTGCAGTGCAACAAAGCTGTAATTCTGTATCACACACTCTCAAAGTATCCTTTTCTAATCAAATGAGGAGACTTCCTGCCTTTTGGCACTTCACCCATGATAATGATGCAATTTCAGCTTCCTAAATTCATGAAAGCACATGCCCATGCTATTTGTTCTCTACATTTGGCAGACCACACCAGACATCATAAAGGCTGACAACAGCAGTGTATAATGCAAAACTCAAGTTCTTAGAGTGAAAATTCTTCGCGTGACTTAGATGTTCTCACCTGCAAAGCATCCAGCTGAGTTCCACCACGGGGAGACCTGCATTCAGGGGAAGCAGGAGGGAAAGCGCGAGCATTTCTCCTGAGCTCCTCTAAAGTGGATTCATGAGCTGCAATCTCAGCTTGGATTTTCTGGCATGTCAGAGAAAAACAGAGGGGAAAAAAAAAAACCCCACATAAAAGTCTTTCAGGGAGAAAAGAGGAATTTGGTGATCACCTAGCACCCAGCAGAAGTAAATCCACCGCGTAAAAGCAAATATAAATATGACCAGGTTTATCTGAAGTACTCTGGCTCCAGTGACTGCTTGCTAAATTGAACGCCATAGAGATTGTTATTCAGTATAAGCTCCTTAAAAAAAACAAAACAAAACAAAAAAAAAAACATCACAGGGGCAAAAAATCCAGATCACTGAAGACCTCACCCGGTGCATCAGCAGAGGTTTGAAATGGAGCCTTTATAACCAAATGCAGGCTGAGCAAGGTCATGAGACACTTCAAAATGCTTTGCAATGGAAAGCTCTACTGCAATACCTGAGCCTCCTGGGGCATCTGAAAGGCATCCACCCGATCAGTCAGGTAGGACGTGAGCTGTCTATCCAGCTCRGCCAGGTTTTCCTGCAGCACCTGCAGCATGTGGTCGGTTTCTCTCATGGTCTGAAGCTGCTGCTCCAAGGAGATCTGCCGGCTTACGGCCTGAGCRGGACAGAAAGGAAACGGGACATGGAACAGCTGAGCAGGAAAAGAAACACCAAATTTTTCCTCTGAAACAAGGTTAGGGTAGGAACATGAGGACTGCAAAAAGAGAGCAAAAGCAAGTCCCCCAAGGCAGCACTCCTGAAGCCTCCTGTGGAATGTACAGCAGGAACTGCTAACAGACCAACATGGAAGGGAGCACTGCCACCACAACGGAGAGACTGAAGACAGGTCTTCACAGTCAACGGAAAGAAAATACTYTGTTAAAAACAGCCATTTCCCAAAGGCCAGCCTATAGCAATCAGGGACTTTGTGACACACTGCAGCTTTAAATTGATAATATATTAACCTGTATATTTTCCTTCAGAACAAAAAAATTCTCTGTGTTAGCAGGTTCCTTCCTTCCACCATCACTCCCTTCAGCAGCAGAACTTTGAAGTTCCTGCACTTGGAACCCTGCACTTGGCATGAGAGCCCCAGGTCTCCACCATGAGCACGCAGGACCACCTGTGTCCCACACGTGTGGGGGTGCACACACACAGATGCAGAGCATCAGCAGCAGCCAAATGAGGACTCCTAAATCAGAGAGATTCCCCCACCCCAAAAATGGAAACKTTTGTTTTTCTTCTCTTCACTATATGAGCAAAATAGCGTAAGAAGGAAGGGAAAAACAAAAACAACAGCAAAACACAAATAACAACACAACAACTATAAAAACCCCTTAACTCCAACGGCAACACACAGTCCCCAGATGAGGGCACTGCATCCATGTATCCCACAGAAATGATGATGAGCTAAAACTCCTCCTCCTACACTACAAGAAAACCCTATCTTTCTTTGGGCATCATTCCAAATTCAAAGTGGCTAAAAACTCTGCAAAGGATTTTGCTCTTTTCCTGCACTGCAGTCCTGCACTCACGAATTCAACCATCTAACAGGCATCATTTGAGAGCACTGAAGTAAAAACAAAAAAAAACAAACAAAAAAAACCCACAAGTTTCCTTCCACCCTGCCCCAAATTCTTACCAAGTGACTCAGTTCCTCATAGCGAGCATTAAAGGCCTCCAGCTTTTCACTGATGATATCATCAAGAATCCCTCCRTCAATCAGGGTCTGCCCGAGCTCCCGAATCTGCGTTCGATTATCGGCTGGGTGACGCAGCACTGATTCCAGGCACTAAGYAGCAGAAAAAGCTCGAGAGGTCACGACACTGAACAGCCCTGTATTTTCTGAAGCGAAAATCTGGCTGCACGTGCAGAGGTTTTAAGACTTAAAATAGCTGGCAAGTGATTTAAACGCATGAATTAGTTATAGCTTAATCCATGACCGCACAGGGCAGACACAGTGGTCATTTTGTTTTAGATGATTAAACTTCACAGCACTTCTCACCTACTCACTGCTATTGTATGCTACAGTGCTAGAAGGAATTAATCAATTTACACAAGGGCAGAAGACAGCATGGGCATGACAGAAAATGTGGCACATCTGTTATGAACAGCAAAGCTSATCTTTTCTTCAGATATCTTACAAATATCTTTTTTTTTTTCAGAATCAGAGTTAGATGATCGTTTGACATAAAGAATCAAAGCATTCAGTATTCAGAATTCCACTAAAGAGTAGAAATCTTTTGTTGTTTTTAAAGTAGGGCTAACTGAAAAGTTGCTAATGCAAAAGAGTGGCTGCAGTACCTCAAGAGCGTCATTGACAGCGTCCAACTTATCAGGCAGATTCTCAGTCATTTGCACCCTTTCTTCCAGAGTATTTAGCCAAGCTGTTTCCAGATCAAGATACTGAAGCAGCTCAATCCAACAGGACCATACCTCCTAAAAGCAAAATTAAATTAGTATAGAACAGAAGGGACGGTTCATATCCTGTGAACAATTCCAATATTTTCCATTATGGATATATTTATTTAAAACATGCAAGTAGAATATCTTCAAAAATATGCTATGTCATATTAAGTTCTAGTAAGAAAAAAAAATCCATAGCTACAAGGCAACTTACAATGAAATTCATTAACTCCTTCTGAAAGGTAGGACATACACAGCATGCCCCAAATCATAACCAATCCATTTTAATTAGCACCATCATCAGGGTATCTCAGCCTTTGTTCTRGAAGATTATTTTTGTCATTTTGGGAGAGACATGGATGGAAAACAGAGCAGTGGAACATGGTCACTTATTTGCAGACATGTTTCTTACAGTGCACACATGGATCATCAAAGCAAAGTTGGGTGGTTTCCTAGGGATTCTAGGGATTCACAGTACCATGGGGAAGAAGAAAACAATGGCAAGCATGAATTTTCTTCTACAGCAAAACATGCTTATGCAGAAGGCACTGTATTCATTGACACAACCCGACATCCCTCTTGCCCCACCTACTTCAGATCTACTTAACAGAGAGCTATCACTCATACCTCCAAAGTGTGGCATTTCCCCCGGATCCGATTGCACAGGAGCTGGTAGTTCTCCAGCACCACGTTCAGCTCAGTCATCAGCTCCTGGCCACCAGATGGCACTTTGGTGGCCAACATCTTGATGTTGTCTTTGAGAATCTTCACCCGCACCTCTTTCTGCAATACATCCTCCTTTGCCCTCTGTCCAAAGAAACACATTGCACAGTCGGCTCAGATATTCAACTATTAACTTTTCAAACCAAAAATACAGACATATTTTCCATCTAGGATATTCCACCTAAAAAAATCAATGATTTGGATCTCCTAAAAAATCTGAATTCCTTGCTATTTGCACCCCAGCATACAGCTATGGAAGATGTACTGAAGTAGAAACCAGGTGGTAGATGTTTTTAAAAACAAATTTATCAAGAAAGAAGAGGCAAGGGAAATTTACAGAACGCTGCAGATCTCAGAGCTCAGTAACTATCTCCAAAGTTATATTTCCATCCTCTTTCCCTAATAAGGGACATGTGTGAATATGGAGTTGGGACCTCTCCACGGCAGGCACACCCATGGATGGGCCAGGGAAACACGCAAACGGAACAGCCAACAAAAGCCCTTGAAGCTGACTGCATTTGTAGGAGCTTGGCAGCGTGCAGGATAAAGGGCCAGCAGCTGCCAGGTATCACAWCATCAGCTGCTGAATTCTGCCCTGTCAAAAGCTCAGCGAGCAGGATGCCTGGGAGATGGTACTCGCAGACACACCCCAGTCTGCACTGAAACACGCTGGAGCCTCCAGAAGCACAGACTGTCCCACAGCTCCTTTCATTCAGCCTTCAAGAGACAGCTACAAATTTCCTACAGGGCAGCATTACTACTGGGGAGTGTCGAGACACCTTCTAAATGTAAGTAATTTTGTAAGCAAGGAAATGCAGCCAATGGGAGTGTGAAGGCTAGAAACACAACTGCAGAGCATCTTCTTTCAGAATAGAATTATTAAAGCTCCCAGTCTCATCTTAACTTAATACTACTGCAAATGTTATGTYGGAAGTTTCACCCTCTGTTCAAATGAGAACAGAATTAGGGAAACTCATGAGGGTTTTCCAAAACGTTATGCAAGAAGTGCTCGGGTGAAATATATGCTGAGTATTCTTCCCCAGTATTCAACACAGTCCTAACACAACAGTCTTATTGCAAATACAAGAGGCTACCACACACTGCCATGTTCCACTGGGTAACAGTTCAGTCAACCCTTATTGAGATAAATAATATGTAATACAAGTTGAAACAGCAATGTGGAAATGCCTGGATTCTTGTCAAAATGTAGGGACAAGCATCATTCTCTGCAACACACAAGGAACATGAAATCATCTTCACAACAAATTTGTTTTAAGCTCCTTTTCTAAATGCAGAGTTAACTAAATATAGGCCATAAAAAACTGAACCCAAACAGTGGAATCAGAAGAATCGAATCATGTCTTAAAACTGCYAATTTGGAGAAGTATAATGTAAAATTTTCTCTCTTTTTCTTATTTCTTCCTCTGCAACAAGTTTTAATATTCTTTGGGGCTTAATATGCTGCACACATCAAGCCTGGCACAGCAGGCTGGGCAAGCTGCAATTCATTATTAAATCTCTACCACATGTGGCCAAGTAGAACATCTGCTTTTCCATTTGTGCTTTCAAAACAAAAATTCCATGAAGTGAAGCTGAAAAAATACCACTAATCTTCTCTGTGACCTGAGCTCCTTTCCACACAGACAGTAAATCCACTAAAGGTCACCCCCTAGAACCCATTAAGTTTTGCTCCTCTTTAATGAGGTCTCCACGATGGCCTCGTACTCCTGACCTTCATTTCCTCCACCGCATTCTCTAGTTCTTCAGGGGACTTGTACTCAAAGTCTTTCTCCAGATACTCTTCTTCAGCTTGGGTCATCCATTCTTGCATCTCTGCCAAGTCCTTCTTCAGATTTACAGCTTTTTCCTGACTTTCAGACAAGTGGTTTTTCTGACTAACGATCTAGAATGTGAGATGGGAGAAAGAAGCAGCAGTTTCATTATTTGAATCTTCCTGAATTTGTGGGGAAAAAAAAAAAAAAAAAAACCACAGGTCTGTGTCAAAACATTTTCTGTTTTTTCTATTAAAGCTTTTTTTAAAGATGCTTTTTACACACAGGCAAATCCTAAACCAAGTCCAAGACACAAGTGGCTCAAGCAGGGCAAAGCAAAGGGGCAGGGCAAAGGGGTCTCCCTTCCTTCCACATTCCAGTCATTCTGGAGTTCTCATCAACAGCCAGGATCCCGTCCAGGCAGGGCAACTGAAGAAGTATCTTTCTCCAGACAGCAGAAAGCTTCCACTCAAAAGAAAGACTCACATATCCAAACTGAAGGGGCAGCCTATTTAGAGCCTTTTCTTCTTTTTCCCTCTTCTTTTTTTCCCACCCAGGGCTGCTTTGAAGGAGTTAGACATTACACAGCATCCAAAAGAATATTATAGCCTTCAGAGACAACAGAAAAGGGCCAGACTATTTTTCAGAAAGGAGGGAACAGCAGGCAACAAAGTCAACAAATCAGTTAGAAAACAATTAAATGGGAAAGAGCACAGTGAACTCCTAGATACAGAGAACTGCAAGCATTCAAATATAATTACTACTGATTAGATATTCATTAACACTTTGGAAGGATTTACTAGGTCATGTTGGACTTCAGCCATTATAACAATTGATTATGTAAACTCTACTGAAATTAGAGTGTGATGCCCCAAGAATTAAACCATGAATTTTCATTTTGACAGAAACAGTTGCCACAGCTGAAGACACATCTGACCAGGCTGGTCACTGCTTCACRGCCCCAGGCAGGCCCCCTAAGTTGGGCTTGTTAGATCAGCACCAAGCAAACACCTGCARCAAAAGGGGACTCACCTGCTTGCTCAGCTTCTCCCACTGCGACTGGCAGTCTGCCAGCCTAGATTTTGCCCACGTATTTATGCCAACAACAGGCTGACTTCTTAAAGCAGACTCTATTTCCTTCATCTCTTTTAAGGACAGTTCAACCTTCTCCATTTCATTAACAAATTTCTAAACACAAATCAGAGAAAGTAATCATTAGAGGAGTATGATGGGAGTGCACTACAATACTTTCTTCTTCAATAAGATGTTACAGATATCTATAGGATACCAGTAATCTTGTGATATGGCAGAGTGATGCTGCACTTAGTGYTATCCAATTTAGAACAACTCAGTCTTTAGAACAACCCACTCGGGGACCTAAATCATCAAAATCATGAAATTAAAAGTCCCAAAATACAGCTTGTCCTATACAGTGCATTCTCACATGTCAAATACCTACACTGGCACGGTGCCAGTTTGAATATGATAGCATTAAATACCCTGATGTTTTTGGCATGCCTTGGACTTTTCTTCCACTGAAAACAATCATCACTGGCTGCAACATAAAATCCTACTCATCTGTAGTGATCATTGTGTGTCACTAGTTCAGAAGAAAGAATGGTCTTCAATGKTAGGCAAATACAATTCCTAAGCCTGAGCAGTTCCATCATCAGAATGATTTTCTTGCTGTTTTTTCTGCTCTTGAAAATTTCATGAGTACAGCACTTTTCCCTCAAATCTAACTCCCTTATCGTAAAAGGGGGAAAAATATGCTGCTTTTAAAGAGGCCTTGAGGTCAATTTGTAGATGACTGTCTGTAAATATGGGGAAGGCCTTTGAAAAGTACAAAGTGTTATAGTTATACACATGAAGAACCAATTACAATGGTGCCTCAAGAAAACAAACTTTCTGGAAGGAGTCACTGTATGAGCCATGGACAATATTTAACAGTAGTAGTAAATAAAATAAAATAAAATAAAATAAAATAAAATAAAATAAAATAAAATAAAATAAAATAAAATAAAATAAAATAAAAATGATGTTCATCATAGTATTTATTTTCAAAGATTCTTTAGAACAGCAAAACTCACTGTGCACTGGTCAAGTTGTCTTTGAAGTCCTTCACTATCTCCTTGAACAGCCTTCTCTGTCAGTAAGAAGTCCTTCACGCCATCCATCCACTTCTGAATGACCTTTGAATCAGCCTACAAAGGACACAGTAATGACAAGTTGGTATCATTCTGTTCTGAACACTGTATGGCTGCTGCATTTCAACAACCGCTAGCAATGGCAAAAGGCTATGTCAGCAGCTAGAATTGCCCAAGTTTTGCTTCAGAACATTTTATAACATATGTTTGTTTTCAAACTTGCAAGAAGTAATTTTGCAGTAATGCTATTTTCTATTTATGTTACAGAATGGTTCAGTTGGCATTGCCCCTCTCCAGACTATCACACAGAAACCCCACATTAGGGGGCAAGCCAGGGTTCAAGCAGTATTTTGTTACCTTTAACATTGAGGACCTGCCTGCATGCTGGAAATAGCATCTCCCTAACAACAGTAACCACATACAGCTGCTTCCATTACACTTTTAAGGGCATATTGCATTGCAAGGAGGAGAGAAGGCCACACTCTTTGTCATCTGAAGGTATTTGTGGGGAGAAGGGGAGAGAGAGAGCAATGCTGGAGAGGCTGAAGGCAAGCTGAGAAGCCACTAGCCTTGCACAGAAACACGGGTACAGAGAGAAGATTCCACGTGGGATTAGACCAACCATTAAACAAACCTGGCTGTTGGCACCAATGTACAGTCTTTACAGCTTGATGTAAAGACTGTATTTACCAAGACTGCCATTTGACAAAATATTTTAGCATATCCCTAACTTAGCTTACTTACTGTAAGTTACTTACGTAAGTGGCTGAACTGAATTCAACGGAATTACTCACAAAGTTAGGAATTTAAACTAATTTCTTTAAATAGCATGCTGAATTACAGATCAAGTAATCTACAGGAGTTCAATATACTAAGTGTTCCTGTGATGATCAGGTAAAGAGCTATCAAAGGCAAATGACCTAACATGGACTGTGGATGTGGAAGAGTTTGAGACAATTAGAGATAAATGAAAACACTAAACCAATTTCTAATGTTTATTCCATCCAGAGGAAAAAGATCAAATGTACTGAATATTAAATGGATTATTCTGAAGAGCAGGCATTTAATTTCAGGAACTTGTCTTGACTCATGCTTTTAAAGAGAAAAAAGGCAGTGCACATGCCCATTGCAGGACAAACAATTCTGAACAAGACAACACTTATCAGAAATTGGAGGAAAAACAACTGCTGCAAAAAGACAGTAAGTAGGAGAAGGAAAGGAAGAGGAAAGAATAAGGTATTGTAGGAAACTGTATATTTTTATACCAAAGGCAGCASAAATAATAACAAGAGGGAGTTCACTGCAAAATAACCCTCAAGAGCTTGCCCAAGCACCAACATTTTCCATCCCTACACGAGGCTCCCCCGCTTTGGGGGGGTGTCTCCTGCTGACCAGCTGCTCCTCCAGAGCCCCAGGTCAGGCCCAGGCTGCTGCMGGTCCCTGCAGAAGAACAGGCTTGAGGCTGAAAGCAGCCCACACACTCCCACAGGTGTCAGGAGACAAGCTCTGATCCATCTCGCTGCTTCAGGTAATACAGAAGATGTTACATAAATGAAGTGAGCCTCCTGCCTCTGAACACCATCAACGCTTTCCGCTTGCAGGTTGATCTGTGGTTCTCCTTTCCAAAGGCATTAGACTAGACCAAACTGTCCCATCTAGGCTACTCTCGCTCTCCCTGCACAGAACCTACTCTGCTGGCAGGAACTTGCCAGGAAAATGGAAGCTCAAGTCCTAAAACTGGTAACTACTGAATACAGCTTTCCATACAGGAACAAGTCTCCCCTTCTATACTTTTCCACAATAAAACTTCTTGTGAGCACAGCGATACTTACTGTGCTCTAAATGAAAGTTTGGTTATTATACGTATCCATATTGTGATTTTTTCCCAGACTTATGGTTAAAGGAAGGCAGACTTGAGGCTCTTACTGTTTTCCAATTGTAATCAGTTAAGAGTTGATTCAAGCTCTCACTGCAGGCCAATTACCTGGCCACAGTAATAAGAATTTCTGACTAAACCCCATGTCCATACTTAAGTAGTCATTACAGGCTTTGACCACCTAAATAAAAACTTAGTTTGAAGTTTGAATCCACTATCAAAGCAAGAGAACAGTTTTCCTCTTCAGAAAGCAGCATTTGGGAGACCGAGATCAAGAGAGATCTTTGCAGAAAAGGCTGCATATGTAAGACAGCCATGTTTGCAGAAGGCTTCATATAGAAAGCTGTTCCTGTGTGTTCATATAGGGATTCATATAGGGGTTCACACAGGAAGCTGTGCTCCTGCACACAAAACATACTCTGAATTATCTATATTTTCCATTTAATTCAGTACATTTAATGCATGTAAAAAATACAGATTTCTACTAGCTAATGCATGTGTCTCTTCATCCCTAAATACAGCTTGTTCATTTAATCCCTAAATATAGCTTGTTCATTTAAAGGATTCCACATAAAACAGATTTTTAAGTGGATTTTTTTCTCCAGCAGTTTGAGAGTTCAACAACCTTGTTTCAGCAATTTCCATCGGTAAAAAGTGGCAAAAGAAAACTGGTCCTCAGAACTGCCACATCTGGCATAATGAGAGAAAGTCAGGGAGACTAGATATATCTCTAAAGGCACATTCTTCTTATCTAAAGTTTAATGCACACTTAGAAAATGAAAAATACTTCAAATATTCAAATTCTTGTTAAGCATTACTCTAGCAAAAACACAGAAAAGATGACATCATGTTTGGGCATTGACACTGTCGTGATCACCTCACACGCTTCAGTTAATATTGAGGAAAACTGGCTAGTGCCTATTTAGAACTTTTGGACCACAATAGTATTGTGATATCATAATATATTTACATTTTTTGCCCCTCCAAAGAGAAATATAATTAAATAGTCTAGTGAAGGGACTTTGGAAACACCAAGAAACCTATCTACCTAGCAAATCACGCTGGGCCAACCTCAGCAAAGAGTTCTATACCCTCTTGATATCAACGGGTTCAGGTTCTGAGCATCCCGGGTGTAATTCCTCCCCTTGGGCACTAGGGTTTCCTGCCCTGAATTTGCAAGTGTGTGCAGGGGTGGGTGACTGTGCCCCTGTGTTCATTAATCCCCCTGCCCCCTCAGAGGCCACTGTGGGAACTGGAAAGCTCCTCACTGCTGCAACACGTTGTCTTCACTTCCCTCTCCAGTTTGTTGYACTGACCCTCTATGTCTGACACCAGCTGCTGGAGAGGGCCCCTCTGGAAGCCTTTCCCAGCACAGCTCCCATACTGCCCACTCCTGACACGGCCTTTGGCCTTTCTCCTGTCAGTATGGAAAGGAGGAAACTGTTCACTTGAAAGGAAAAMCAATTCCACTAGAAGATGAAATAGTGTATTATGAATGTTGAAAGCCCTCAACTATCCTGCTAGCAATATATTAGATAGTTCTAGTGGTCTGCCTACATTTCACTTAACAAATAGCAGCACCTGGATGCCTAGTCCTGCAGATATAGAGAAGGGCTCTGAAATGAGTTATGTGAAACAAAATCCTTTTACTTTACCTCAAATATCCTGGACTTAGACATAATTTCTTCCAGTAGTTGAACTTCTTTGGCCGTCTTGAGCTTTAACTTGTCCCAGTGTCCCTGCACATGCCGGAGTTCTTGCTTGTAGACCTTGGCTGTATCAGGGGCAGCCTGTTTCTCTAAAGCTTTCATTTCTTCCGTGAGTTTATCCATCCTGGACTTCTGGGCTTCCAGTGTCTCGCAGACAGCCTAGAGCAGGGGGCAGGAGAGGGGTAACCACAAGCAGCCTGAGCCACGGGGCAGCCCCACGTTCCCGCAGAGGCGCCGGGGCCTCCCRGGCCGGGCACCCAGCAAGCAGCTGCCTTCCAGCTCCTGCCGGTGCTGCCGCAGGGATGCCCAAGCAAGCCTGGAGTCACCCCAGGCTCCAGCTGCAAGGCTGGCACGGGAGCAGAGAAGGGAGTAGGCTCTAAAGCCAGGCAAAGGCCAGTCTGTCACTGGATGCACGAGCTGCCGCGTTACGGCACACGGGGCAGCAAAGCCAGGGCAGCACTTGGAACTGCGCCTTGCACAAAGCCAAGGCCTCAGCTTTCCCCTCTCCACGTTCTTTTTTTTTTTGAGGGTGCTTCCTTGTTTTAAACAGGCTGAGAATGTCTGTCTCCTCAGGCTAATAAAACTGCTAGTAAAGCTACAATAAAAGATTTGGACACTTTAGCTAAACTACTTCTCGGGGAGAGA